CTGCTCACTCTTCACACCTCTTGTAATATCGTAAGGAATTTCCCAATTTCACCACCCTCCTAAACGGTTGCGATGACACCTATGAATCTAAGTCACACTCGGGATCTTGCTCCTGAAATCCATTGATGGGTATCAGTCACGGACGTAACTGCATTCTTCGGTAGACAGCTAATTTGGCCCCCCATTTACGTGTAAGTAGAACATCTATCACGGCGTCTCGGCATTTCTTCCAATTTACCGAGTACTCGTCTATCGAAAGATTCAATGAATGATAACGAGCCTAATAAATACGGAGTCGGCTCCCCAAATGGCTGTAATTAATTTAATGGATTTAGACAAAGAAATATGTACAATGAGATAGTGAGATTAATGATGGCGCTGCATATTGTTTTAAGCATTAGTTAGTTGATGTTGAATTGTGAAGATATTCAGCTAGTGCCGGGTGGTGTGCCGCGTAACCGGAGCCGGCCGGGCCCGCTCTCGGACGCTTTATTTTTTCTCCATTTACTTGTAAACACTAATGAAGGCTCCCGAGCGAGCCTTCTAACGAGCTCTAACGTTGCACTTTCCGTTTATTATCAAGTCTGTAATCTAACATCCGAAGGTACTCCGACTACAGACCTCGGTACAGCACTTGGGTACAAATTAACAGACCCAATTACTAGTCGAAACTATTCTCAAAGAATATGTAAAGGTACTAATATCCAGGTGGGTAACTTATTCCGTAAAACTGCTTTCTTTGTTAAATATCAAGACAACTCGCGTCGAATTCTAATGAGATTAATGTAAATGTATGTTCTGAAACGTACTTTGTTCTGCGGATGTTTGCTAGACAGTACATTAACATAACTGCCCATAAAAAGCCTTACTTCAGCCCCGTCTAGAACTGCGAGAAGGGTTCCGTCTACTGGGTTGTTATATCACAAAATCAGCGCAACATAAATTAGTGGACAGGTCGCGTGACGGACCGACTTAGCAACATCGTCTCCTTATCGTCGTCCGGAAACAACCTGGCTAACCTCTGTACTACGTACGCTACAAAAATCAACTCTAACACACTCGGCAAAGAAATCAAATTCCTTTAACACATCTAACTGTATAACTAACGAAACAACCAATCTCGACCCTATATATGCTGCCGTACGGTTCAAATCCCATTCTAAACAATAGGAATAGTCAACAACAAATAAGGCAACATTGCCAGTATGTCAACATAAATAAAGCTGAGTGTCCTTTAACGAAGCAGACGTTGACGTCGGGACACTAATAAAGACCGTACGAGACAATGTCGACTCTAAAGCTTTTGTGTTAAAATTGAGATTAGTTACGTTAGCAAAAGGGGTAGTAAATGAAGGTTCACATTTAGCGGTCGTGGTGGTAGTGATATGGGTGGACTTCCTTTGTCTGGTAATCTTATCAGCGTGGCAGCCGGCCGCCGCGTCTTGACATGATGCATTGCCCGCGCTATACATTTACATTCGTCGACGCCCGAACGGGCACGCACCACGAACGCGTCCAACACTACCTACACATGTCGAATACACTTAACTGCTATTTATACAACTGTTTTACAATTTCAGACCAATGCGGGAAGTTAATCAATCAATTTTAATAGAATGAACCCGTCTATGTACAGTAGAGATAAGCTTATGTATACAGCATTGGGCTCCGGCCAACCGTGAGCCATCGATTAAAATGTACGCGTAATGTCATTACGCAAACCCATTCCACTTGTAGCAGGGAGATAGCGGTGGCCTTCCTTTCCTTTCTCGAACTGCTGAATTTCGTTAATGCCTCCGAATTTTTCGATAATGCTTGCTAAACCTTCTGATATCGAAAACGTAAAGGAAATTATAAGAAAACCCAATTCTTCAAAGCCGTAATAATAAGAAATACGTTTTCGGGGTGGATCTATTGAATATCGAGTACTTTATTTTATAGATTGTAATAATGGAGGGAATCTCTCGGAAGACAGTTCTCGGGCATCAGAATGTAAGATCCACAAAAGCCCTCGCGCTCGATCCCTTTGCAATCGCAAAACTTTGAATACACCTCTTTCGACTATCGAAAAGTTCCCGATAATGGATTTGTTCGAGCACTCGATTGTTCAACGATGAATGGGTACTAATTAAAACGAAGTCACGACGACGCCGGACCAAGTTCCCGATTGTTTCCCAACTATAAATCGCAGCGCCGCTCTCTCATATAAATATTGCACGGGTCCAACTTTGGTGCTAAATTTAAAATCGAAATTGGGGAATCGGCGCCACTGAGAACGTATGCTTTAACTGTTTTTACTGGACCACTATTCCCAACTGCGGAATGCCGATACGTTCACTTATATTTGATATTAATCTACGTAAATAAGGATCCTCTTGCATGTATGTTCTCAATTCGAGTTAGGATCAAGATTAAGGGGTAAATTCTAAATTGCTTCGGGAATGTTCGTGTAACGAGTTTAAGATTGTGAGCACGTGTTGCCGCCGCGTCTCTTGCCTTCAGAGATTGCCCAAATGTATCTCGTTTCTATCGGTGTGCGTCTTACACGTGAATGTGCTTTACGTCTCATACATCAACATCGCAGGTTATGAAACTACCTGCCGAGAGATATATATACTAGTCAGTTTGTGCCTGGCTGCCAACATGTGCGCCGAAATTACTTTCTTGTATTATAAAGTAATGCCTATCTTCCACCGACGCTCTTAATATAAAAAGAAAAAATGTTGGAATGTTAATGTTAACTAGAATAATGAACAGGGAATTAACCTCTCCTGCGAAACTTACTGGCGAGTAAACCGCAGTTACTCTATTACAAGTCGGTTTGTTTCTTTTCCGTTTCCAATAAGAAATCACGTTTGTTCGGCCCGAGCTCGGCCGCAAATGAGCCGAAACACACCCCCTTTATCTTCCAATAAGTAACCGAGCTTTGGATTTCTACGAAAGAAAATACGGTTCCTAAACGGAAAATAGGAGATCGGATGCCAGATGGCTCGAAAAATATAAAAATAAACGAACCGGAATATGGATAGTGGCCTCTATCTGATTGTTATTCAGTTTTATGCATAGTGTAGTCTCAATAAATAATATGGGATAGTAAAAGTGAGCGCCGAAAAGTCTGGGTTGGTAGTAAAAAATACCGATTTTCCTACGTAAACAAACTTAAAGTGGTCCAATCAGTGAGCTGTGTGGAAGATAATTTTGATAAAAGTAAAAAAGAGAGAAAAAAAGGTGAGTTTGTTCCGGGTGCGCAACGACAAATCCCATGACGGCATTCAAAATCGCGTTCCCTTTTTAAAGTTGAGACGATTCGCGTAACGAGTGTCGAATTCTCCGAGCCCGTGGGCCCCTCCAGTAGACGAAGTGCCCCCGGAGGTGCCTCGGTAATTACCAACCATTACAGACAAAGGACACGGCTCGTCCGATTACCATAATTCCCAGGCCCCGAGACGGGATATAAATGGGCCACATTTTGTAGTAGCACGACGACTGACGTGTGTATTAATGACTATGCTTGTCCTCCTAAATTAGGTAAGGGATTTGGTGATTTAGTTTTTTCATTGGCTGTGGTGGCAGAATAGGATGGATCGACTGTTCGGTGCGCTCGACTTACCGCATTTGTCCTTCTACGGCGACCCTTACGACAAATTACAACGTTTAGAATGCGCTTAGTCGTACTTGTAAAGCAGGATGAGATATGACGTCGTCGATTCCATCTCTTTGACCTTACATAGGTATATTGCTTGGTTGGTGGTTACATTAACTACTCGTATGTTTCATAAACGACTTTTAGAAAATTGGAGTATAGGAAGTAATGATTTGTATCCAACAATAAAGCCTACATTTTCTTGAAATATAACTACTGCAAATGAAAGTGCGCTCTATGGAAGTTCAATGAAACTCATTAATCTCTAATTGCTAAGAAAAGAATGGTATCAAAGGGCGAGACCACAAAAGGCGGCTGACGATATTGTTGAGAAGTTCACCATTTTCATTTCGGTAGTGATCGAGAGGGTGGGGAGATCGATTGCAAAAAAAAACAACACAAATACCCTTTTAAAATTAATTGAGTTTTCTTGCGGCTACATCGGGAGCTACAATAAATTAATTAACGCTCGAAGGAATCTTTAAAATTCGTAGAGGATCAAAAGTTGGATGTTATGGTGCCGATAAGAGGCGTCGAGGGCGCGGGGCCACAGATAATACTTCGATTTTCCATTAGCTTATATTAGCGATGGGAGAGTCCGCCGCGCCCCGTGGTTAGACCAATAGCTCCCGATCTAATATATTTTCCTTATAAAGAACAGCCGAAACACGCGATCTTTGATCCATTTGCATGAGCCTATCTACGGTTATTTGTTTACGGGGCCATTACGGTGAGCAATATTCGCCCCTAATTGAATTTCAACTTGTAAATTTTCGTGGATAGAATTAATTAAATTTTTCCCTGTGCTAATGCCTCCGCCACGACCGCTGGAGCATGCTGATTAATTTTGTGAAAGCCTTTAACTTTACAAATGATGGCATTTGATAACAGATTATCGGTAGTAATGAAGACCAAGTTCTGATACGCTAATTCCACTGAATTGTAAAAGAGAATTTTGTTTGTTTAGCAAGTTTGTGGTAATACAATTAAGGTACTCGACTGTATCAATATATTTCTTTATCTTATTGAACTCCACTCCCATACATGTTATTTTGTTTTTATTGAAAAAGCAAAACTGCCACAAGCGCCCAAGACAGCGACTGGGCTTTATTTATCGTAACTTTTAAAAGGGTTGTTTTATTTTAACAGCAATAAACGTGCTTGAATTTTTTCATTCGTTTGTTCCGATTCTCGTTATAAGAAACTCCAGCAGCTTTAGTTTTATTTTCCAAAGTTTTCAAAGACGCGGTAAAAGTAGCGTTTGATTATATTGGCTTTCTTAAATTGATAATTGTAAAGTTATAATGAAGCACAGCATGTTTTATTATAAAAATGTAATTTCTTGTTTCTTCCTCAGGGTGTCTACTGGAAGGTTCGCGTCTCCCGCCCGATGTGCCGCCTCGCAACCCGACCATGTCTCGGCTGAACGGTCGCATCACCGGGAACCCTGCGGATTTAGGCGACTTCGAACCCTCCTGCCTCGTTCGCACACCTTCCGGTAACTTCTACGTGCCTTCAGGTGAATGTTAGAATCTTTTTGACTTCTTTTTTTAGAATAAGTACACAAATACACACATACATTCATACACATATGTTATTACAACAAATAATCTTGATAAAGATTTTATAAATACATAAGATACTTTGTCATAAAAACCATATAATAGTAGAGTAAAAAAGTAAGTTAAATTACATAAACACGACTAACTGGATTCTTATTTCAGGGGATATTCAAAAGAATCCGTCTATGGACTACAAGTCAAACTCATCGTGTAGTAGTCCAGGGAAACCAGAAAAGAGCACGTTAGAAAGAATGGAGCGGTCAGACCGGCCGCACCCAACCTTCGGGACCCCTGTTCCAGTCCTCCCTGTGAGGAATAACCTCCGATCCTCAAACTTTCCCTCAGCCGGATCGCGGTTTCACTTCCGAAAAGGCCTGTCCTCAAGGTGCTCGTGGAAGTGTACCGCTATTGTATTTATAATACTATTTGTTGTATTGTTAGCCATCGCGTCTTATATAACAGGTAAGTTTCATCGTGATATTAGTATAGTGCCAAAAATATTTTGTTACAATTTCTAATATAAGCGCAACTTGTAATAAAATTGAATTCAAAAAATAAATGTCTCTTTATGACAGCAACGGAAATTCATTTTTCTTCAAAGAGCTCCCAATGCTGCTAACTCGGTTAATTATATTATCAATCTGCAATTTTAAAACCAGTTAATATTTCTACTTGATCATGATTAATTTTAATATCGTTGTCCACAGCGTCGTATTTTGTTAACTGGACGTATCAAAACCCCAAATCATGTACAGTAGTCGTCGGGGAACCAACAGAAGTGTTTCCGGCATCAAAAGCAACATCACTGGAGTTCGCCAATAAAACAATGGCGAGGCCGCATCAAAGTTTGCCAACTATAGGCACAGGTAATGAGGAACATCACTCCCGTTATCGTAGAAGTGTAGATGTAGTAGATGGGCATGCTTCTTCTTCACCTCAATCTGTTCCTTCCGACGATTCTTCCACCGCCGAAAATATGCATGATATAAACAATTCTGTGAACACTGTTAGCTTAGTGCATGGTGTGGCTGAAGAAATCACAACTCAGCGGGACGAAGAAATCAACGTGGGTTCTAACAATGCTTTTATGTCTAGCAATGTTAATAATGTGTCGGTTAACACTAGTAATCTAACAAACAATCTTGGGCTTTCTACGAGTACGGAACCGCCGAAAATTCCGATGACAACTACTTCAACAACTACTGAACATATAACAACGGAAGTTCAATCAACTTCTATTGCTTCCACAACTGCTAAAATAACAACTCAAGTAACTAACAAAGTTAAAGAGACTCACATAGAATACCCAGAAGAAATAAATAATCATGTTAATATGCCATCAACTAAACCTGAAAAAGATAACGTCGCTTATGAACCTGAAAATATGCAAGGTGATTCCTTTTCATTGATTCGTCCATACGGTATGGAAAGGCTTAACTTTTTCAAGATCCAAAATCAATTAGAAAAAATCAAAGAAGTTCTCCACATTTATTCCAATGATTCATCTGATTCCGAAAAAGATTTAGAAAAGTTTCATTACGATAGTGAAAATAGTGGTTTAAAAACTACGTCAACGACAAACAAACCAAAAGTAGCAAATGAAGAGACTACGGAAGGCACGACTACGACTAAAACAAGTACCGAGGGCACTACAAAAACTAAATCTACTACTGAAGTTCCTTCAACAACAAGTTCAACTGAAAAAATAATAACAATAGAACCTATAACAACAAACGTTATTCCTAACACCACAAATATTTTTACAACGCACAATGAGCATGTTGTTACAACAACACCAACACTGAGTGTTACTAATAATACATATACGACTACTACCAGCGCAGCAAATGGTGATGAAAATTCCACTGTAAATACTGTTGATACTAAATTCCCTGATGTGACTAATCCTAAACACGTCTTAATTAACCTAACAATCTCAGCTGATAATGCAGAGAGCTCATCATTTAAGCAACTTTATTCTCTAACGTTAACCGTTCCAACAGTTGGGGACTCAAATGAGATACCAACTGTTAAAGTAACACCAATGGATCCAGAACCAACACAAGCGTCAAATTTCAACAAACCTATTACTTTGGAAGGATCCACAAAAGTCAATAAACCTACAGATGATGATAGCGAGATTGGTGGAAGCTGTGAATGTTCATGTCCAGCCTGCATCAGCAATGCAACTGATGACATGTTCTATGATGAATTAACAGAAAATGGTCCAACAACAGCCTCTTCAAGAATTGATTCGTCCACTGTAGTAGATCAAATATCACGTACAGATCAATCGAACTTAACAGAATTTACCACTGAGGATCTGACGAAGTCGTCAGGCACTACGGAGGCAGTAACATTTTCTACTGATTCGACTTCCGATATGAGCACTGAGACATCAACTCCAGAGGAAACTATTTCCACATCTGACGAGCCTACGACTGAAACCACAACTGAAACTGAACTTTTCACCACAACTGAATCACCAAAATGTATTTGCCCAAAGATTCAGCCTCCACCCATTCTTATACTGGAAGGTGAGGTAGAACCTTCAATAAAAGTCAGAGATAACTTACTAACGGTCACAAAATTCATCACTGGTTAGGGGTTCTGTGTACAAATACAAAAATGTGTATAACATACTAATATGCATGCTGATCACTGGTTGCAAGGGTACTTTATATGTTACGGCATCATAATTTTCAGTTGCATGTGCTTTATAACAAGTAAATGGGTAGTTGTTTTAATTAATATTAGTTTAACAGAGCATACGACAGTTCATCACATTATCGCATGTCGTACAATTACTATGGAACGTTACTAGCAAACTAACATGTTTGTATTTTCTAGGTGCGCGAACGTTCCCCGCGCAAACATTTCCACCAGACGGAACGACGTTCAAACAAATTACTTTAGGTGAAAAATTATCAAAAGAAATCCCTCCATATAGCTACTGGAATATGCAGTTTTATCAAACTCAAGCAAGTTACGTGAAGTTTGACTACATGATACCCCGAGGAGCTTCTATAGGCGTATACGCGAGAAGAAACGCTTTACCGACACATACGCAATATCATATCTTGGAAGTTCTCAGCGGTTTCAAGGCTAGAACAACAAGAACATCACATGTAAGCTTTTATCATAAATACATACTGAATAATTGTGTTTACCTAGATGACAAGGAATACACTTTCACTTAGGCCTTTAATTTGCAGCCTTCCATCAAGAAAGAAGTAACGCACTATATGGAACAAGGCCATTGGTTCTTATCTCTGTACAACGACGACGGCGACCCACAAGAAATCTCTTTTATTGCAATGATAGCTGATGAAATGACGCACAATTGTCCTAACGGATGCTCAGGGAAAGGAGAGTGTCTCATGGGCCATTGTCAGTGCCAAGCTGGTTTCGGAGGCGACGACTGTAGCAAGAGTAAGTAGTACACCAAAATCGAACGATAAAAATTTTTGTTATTTATCTCAAAATAAAATATTCTTTAATATTATTTTATTTTCAAGGTGTATGTCCAGTTCTTTGTAGTCAACGAGGCGAGTACATCAACGGCGAGTGTCAATGTAACCCTGGCTGGAAAGGCAAGGAATGTTCTTTACGACATGACGAATGCGAAGTTCCTGATTGCAATGGTCATGGGCATTGTGTCAATGGAAAATGTTCCTGTGTTAGAGGATACAAAGGGAAATTCTGCGGAGATATTGACTGTCCTCACCCAACTTGCTCCGGCCATGGTTTTTGTATTGAAGGCTCCTGTATTTGCAAGAAAGGTTGGAAAGGTATTGACTGTGCAACAATGGACAAGGATGCACTTCAATGTCTTCCGGACTGTTCTGGACATGGCACCTTTGACGTTGATACGCAAACATGCACTTGTCACGCTAGATGGTCCGGTGATGACTGTTCTAAAGGTATGTATAACAGTATTAAGATTTCTCCAGTGTTAGTATGACTAATTTTAATTATTAATGGCGGTACTTCGAGACACAATAGAAGAACAATAGGTGCGCGTGTGCTTAGGGTTTGATGAAACAATGTGAATAATTTTTTTTACAGAAATTTGTGATCTTGATTGCGGTTTACACGGAAGATGTGTGGGAGAGTCCTGTGTGTGTGATCCCGGTTGGACTGGAGAATTTTGTACATCCAAACTATGTGATGCTCGGTGTAGTGATCATGGTCAATGTAAGAACGGCACTTGTCTCTGCGTGTCTGGTTGGAATGGCCGTCATTGCACTTTGGAAGGCTGTCCACGAGGTTGCGCAGGTCACGGACAGTGTAAAGTCGCTAATGACGGTCAATGGTCCTGCAAATGCTTCGATGGATGGGACGGCCCAGACTGCACGACCCTTAAAGAACAAATCTGTGACGATGGAAAAGATAATGACAAAGGTATGTATTTCTTGCATGATCAGCTAGGCTGTGTATTAACATCGTGTATGAAGTTGACACTTATATTTATTCTGTTCAGATGGCCTTGTTGACTGCGAGGATCCAGAGTGCTGCTTAAGCCCCATTTGTAAAGGTAGTCAGCTCTGTGTGTCGTCACCGAAGCCTACAGATATTCTTCTTAGGAAACAACCTCCTGCGATCACAGCATCATTCTTCGAACGGATGAAGTTCATCATAGATGAAGGTAGTCTTCAAAACTACGCAAAGCAGGAGAACTTCAACGAAAGGTGAGTGACTGGATGTTCGGTGTTATCTGTTAGGGTTAAGCGTAAAATAATAACTAGCTAATGTTTCGTTTGTCGGCTAATCCTAAGCCAACAAACTTTATATAAATATTTGTTATATAAGATACGCAATGTTGTGCCCCAGTCGATCCCAATGTTTTATTTACATTATAAGAGTGTACCACAACGCTTTCTTTCTTTTCTTACACTTACATATATGAAACAGATGTATTTATTTGTACTAAAACGACTAAATCTAAAAGATCGACACTTGCATGTGATACACGTATCAACGTCGCTGTTACTAATGTTTCCGAGCTTTCTTGTTTCTAAATTAATATTATTTAACACAATAATAATACTTACTCATTCTGTCATTTCTCTCGGTTTTTCTAACGCTGCGCAGTATGTTTTGGAACCACTTCAATTCGAGGTAAGACTTGTGAATCGAACGTAGGATAGTGTTTGTTTAACTTAGACTTTATCTGCGAGTTCTATAATATACTACAGTATATACATATGTATTTAATTGGCGACATACTATACTTACTCTATGTATCTGTGTTATGCATGTTGTGCCATTATAGTATTTAGCTACCTACTATTGTGTCCTGTGAATTTGTGTTCGCTTTTTATTTAAATGTTTGTAATAATATTCTATGACGTTTTATAGAAAACCATCTTCGATAAACACTTGACTAAAATCTTCTACAACAATACATATCATTATACATTTGTAGAAAGATGTTTGACAAACTTATTAAAGATACTATATGATTACAAATTGTAAGCTTTGAATTGGAACACTTTTGATCCGAATGAAATTCTCATAAAATAATCCCTTCTATTTAAGACTTCTAGTCCCTTAGTTAAATCACCATTTGTTTAATAGTCAAAGTAGATCACTTATATATACGCAACAATAATAATTCACTAGTCCCATGTAATTTTATACTAGTCTTTCACTCATAGTAACTAGAACATTCCTTGTAAAAATAACCAAATCAAATCAATCACTAACATCTTTCCAATTGACGCCAATATCAAATATTGGCCAACATCACCAACATATAATCTACTTCGTACTAATGAATACATTACCTGAATTTCCAGTCGTTCAGCTGTAGTCCGTGGTCGAGTTGTCACCTTACTTGGAACTGGTCTGGTTGGTGTCAGAGTGTCTACTGATACACCTCTAGAAGGGTTCACTCTGACCAGAGAAGATGGCTGGTTTGATCTCCTCGTGAATGGTGGTGGCGCTGTTACATTAAACTTTGGAAGAGCACCATTTAAAAGGGCAACGAAGGTCGTCTACGTGCCTTGGAATGAGGTAAATAAATTGATCAACTCGACAACCAACCACAATCATGTGATAAAAACTGACATCGATAAAAAATAACCTCAAAAATAATTACCTTTGGAATTTAATTCGAATCTTACTTATATTGTATCGCTCATATAAAACCTTAGGTCAATCCTAGACAAGCTTGATTCAGTCGTTAAATATTCAAACAACTTTCAAGTGTACTTCGTACAGGTTATTTTATTTTTTCTGAATTCAAACATGCAAGACTGCGATTAACGTTGGGACGTTAAAATTTTTATGACTCAATTATTTTTCTTAAAACTTTATTTAGAACACGCTTATGCCTTATGGCGTTTTAAATTCAATATTTTACTGGCCATACTTTAGATTGGACTTTCATAAATGAAATCATTAAGCAAGTTATAAAAGCAGTAAGATTATTTTATTAAAATACGGAGAAAAAGTAACCACTATTATTTTCGTTACTTATAAATTAAAGTAATGTTTTTCTGGTAAAAACACAGTTTTGATCGTGATTTGTAAATGTCAATTTCTTTTACTTTAACACATTCTTTCCAGGTTGTAATTATCGATACAGTTTTAATGACGACAATGGATGAGAAGATCAACATGGGTCCTCCACAAGCTTGTCTTGCTCATGACTATGATACGATGAAACCAGTTGTGCTAGCTACATGGAAACACGGCTTCCAGGGAGCTTGTCCAGACAAAAGCGCCATTTTGGCTGAATCTCAAGTACGTTTTGTATAAGTGTCTTTCTCCGATTGAAATCTCATATTACGTTAGCCTAATATTTTATAACCAATTATAATGTATTTTCAGGTTATCCAAGAAAGTCTCGAAATCCCTGGGACTGGTTTACATCTGGTTTATCACAGTTCTAGGGCAGCCGGCTATCTTTCTACCATACAACTCCAACTTACTCCTGAAAAAATACCATCCACTTTGGCTCTTATCCACCTTAGAATAACAATAGAAGGAATCCTCTTCAAGAAAACTTTCGAAGCTGATCCAGTTATTAAATTCACATATCCGTGGAACCGCCTGAATGTGTACAAGCAAAGGGTGTACGGTGTTACGACAGCACTTGTGAAAGTTGGATACCAATACACCGATTGTAAGGATATCATTTGGAATGTGCAAACGACCAAACTGAGTGGGCAGGACATGAGTATATCGGATGTTGGTGGATGGAATTTGGATATCCACCATAGATACAACTTCCATGAAGGTAAATAGCCTGTTATTTTGAGTGCGGGTAGATTTCGGATTACGTACATACAGCCAAACGTAACCCAGTTTAAAGCCCTTCACGACGGCTTTAAGCATCTCGTTTCGGGCTTTAGTATATCTAACCGTTTTGCAGCCCTAAGTACAAAGCCATGTAATCTGTTAAGTGGTTCAGTATATTTGACCTCTTCAATGACAACGATCGATCTCGTTGAATATACGCGCAATTTATGTTTAGAATAATGTTTTAGACTATGAAATATTATACCGGATCCCAAGATAAGACGAGCAGTGATTTAGAAGGATTTTAACTTTTTTTCACTTTCAGGTATCTTGCAAAAGGGAGATGGAACTAACGTCTACTTGAAACATAAACCTCGTGTAATCATAACGACGATGGGCGATGGCCGCCAACGTGAACTAGAATGTGGAGACGATTGCTCAGGAGTTGCTTCTAGGCAAAGACTTTTAGCACCAGTAGCATTAGCTGCGGCTCCTGATGGTTCTATTTTCGTAGGAGATTTTAATCTTGTCCGGAAGATCAGTCCTGACGGAACTGTGCGAACAGTGGTGAAGTTGAAGTAAGCATTACTTATACCTGTTATTCTTTCTGTTTCCTGCATTGAATTCTCCTAGAGAAGACCACAAAAAATATCAGAAAAACATATTTCGTTGATCCAAAACAATTATGCATGTTTTGCTGTAATCCTAGATTAAAGGAATTGAGGCCGTTTTTAGAGGTTGTAGCTGGTTCCCATGTTTACCTATCACCTGTTATTTGTACAGTTTGTTCTCTAGTTTTAATTACTAATTGATTTATTTTTATTTTTCAGTGCCACTCGAGTCTCTTATCGGTACCACATGGCCCTGTCTCCTCTTGACGGCAATTTGTACATCTCAGACCCTGAATCTCATCAAATCATTAGAGTTCGAAACACCGAGGACTTTAGCGACCCTGAACATAACTGGGAAACTGTTGTCGGTTCCGGGGAGAGATGTTTGCCAGGCGATGAAGCCCACTGTGGCGATGGAGCACTAGCACGAGATGCTAAGCTCGCCTATCCCAAAGGAGTCGCCGTTTCCATCGATAACATTGTCTATTTTGCTGATGGTACGAATATCCGAATGGTAGATAGAGACGGTATTATTACTACCATCATCGGCAACCACATGCATAGAGCACACTGGAAACCCATACCCTGTGAGGGCACACTTAGCGTTGAAGAAGTCCACTTACGTTGGCCCACAGAACTTGCCATCAACCCATTAGACAACAGTCTGCATATCATCGACGATCACATGATTTTACAAATGGCACCTGACGGTCGAGTAAAAGTAATTGCAGGAAGACCTCTTCATTGTCCTTCACCCATGACCGGTATTGATGTTGAGTTGGCAACATACGCAACATTAGTCATGCCACAGAGTATCGCTTTCGGTTCGGCAGGAGACCTGTACGTAGCTGAAAGTGACTCACAAAGAATAAATCGAGTTCGTTTAATTACTACAGATGGCAAAATTTCTCTGTATGCTGGCGCTGAATCAAAATGTAATTGCTTAGAAAGGGGATGCGACTGCTTTGAGGCTGATCACTTCTTAGCCTCGAACTCGAAGTTTAACACAATATCTGCTGTCATAGTTAGTCCTGATGGCATCGTTCATATTGCAGATCAGGCAAACTACAGAATTCGATCAGTAATGGCTAGCATACCGGACGCTAGTGGCGCTAGGGAATACGAAATCTATTCACCTGACACACAAGAAATTTACATCTTCAACAGATTCGGCCAGCATATAACGAGCAGGAATATCTTGACTGGTGAGAACAATTACGTATTCACCTACACCGTTAACACCAGCAACGGAAAACTTAGCACCGTTACTGACGCAGCTGGCAACAAAGTGTTCCTACTTAGAGACTACTCCACCTCAGTTAACTCTATCGAAAACACTAAAGGGCAGAAATGTAGGCTTAAGATGTCAAGGATGAAAATGCTTCAAGAACTAAGAACTCCTGACAACTTCAATGTTACCTTTGATTATTATGGCCCAAGCGGATTACTCAAGTCAAAATACGACAGCACAGGAAGAAGTTACGTGTACAAATATGATGAATTCGGTCGTCTAACATCAGCTGTGACCCCCACTGGCAGAATCATCAATCTGAACTTTGATTTGAGTCTCAAGGGCGCCACTGTCCGAATTACTGAAAACAATAAGAAGCCTATTTCGATATTGATAAAGGGATCATCGGTTAATACTCGTACAGGCGAAGCAGAACAGAAAACTATTATTTCTTCTGATAGCAGCATTTCCTCTAGCATGCCTTGGGGTCACGTTATATCTACGGACACCGTGCCCTACACTGTTTTAGCAGAGATTGACCCCATTCTAGGAGAAAGCTTCCCTATTCCCGCGAAACAGCGAACCGAAGTTGGCGGCGACTTAGCGAATAGATTCGAATGGCGATATTTCTTACGAAAACTTCTAAACAAAGCAAGAACTGGAAAATCCATCGCACAAGTTGGACGTAAACTTAGAATAAACGGTGAAAACTTACTGACTTTAGAGTACGACAGAGACTCGTCAACTATTGCCGTCTTTATGGACGACAAGGTAGAACTCTTGAACGTTACTTATGACAGAACCGCAAGACCAGTGAGATTTGGACCCAGTAACGGAATTTTCGCTGAAGTTGTGCTTGACTACGACAGATTTAACAGGTTAACTAAATGGAGTTGGGGTGATCTAAATGAAACGTATGGTTTCGACCGGGCTGGCAGGCTGAATGAGATTCGCTACGGTGATGGCTCGTCTTTAGCTTACTCCTTCCGAGATATGTTCACATCACTACCACTAAAAGTAACAACCCCAAGAGGTAGTGATTATTTACTAGACTATGATGACTCTGGCGCACTGCAAAATCTAACCACTCCAAGAGGTCATATTCACACGTTTGCTCTTATGACATCGCTGGGCTATTTCAAATACCAGTATTTCTCCCCAATGAATCGACATCCTTACGAAATATTATACAATGATGATGGTAACATACTCTCTAAAATTTTCCCTCACCAGTCTGGTAAAATTGTATACGTGTATGATAACAGTGGAAAGTTAGAAATGGTACTGGCAGGTGCTTCGGCTATTCGCTATGTATACCACGAAAACACTCACCTTGTAAAGAATGTTGAGATTACGGATTCCGACTACGAACTAAGACAAGATTACAAATATCATGCTGGTATTCTGAAAGATCAGAAAATGAAGTTCAGTCCAAAGAGCAATCTAAATAACGCTCATTTCAAATATCAATACGATGGCAACGCCAGGCTTTCCACAATTGATGTAAATATCAATAGCAAAGAAATGCCACAACTAAGAATGAAATACAATCAAAACTTAGGAATTCTTGAAGCCCTCAGTGACTTGAGGATATACAGAAACACGTTCAATAGATCAGTAATGCAAGATACAAGTAAACAATACTTCACAATTACGGATTATGACGACCGTGGCAGAGTCAAGACCATCCTGATGAACATCAAAGCCTTCGACGTGTTTCGACTTGAACTTGAATATGACTCACGAAACAGGATCAAATCGAAAAAGACAATGATTGGCGATACTTCATCGAACGAACGAATTAGTTACAACTACGATGGACACTTGATGGAAGTTGTAGGATCTGAAGATGATTGGAAATACGTGTACGATGAGAATGGCAACGTGATTGGGGTCATCGAACACGGAGAGAAACGTTACCTTGGCTACGACATCGGAGATCGGGTTGTCCAGTACAGCGACGTAGAATACAGCAGCTACGATGGTCGAGGTTTCGTTATAAGACGAGGCGAACAAAAATACAGGTACAATTCTCGAGGTCAGTTCGTTCACGCATCTGAAAGGGACAAGTTCCAAATGTGGTATTACTACGACGATAGGAGTAGATTGATAGCATGGAGGGACGACAAGAGTAATGTCACTCAATTCTTCTATGCCAACCCGCAGACACCGAACTTGGTAACACACGTCCACTTCACGAAATCTGGCAAAACAGTACGGTACCTATACGACCAGAGAGACTTCTTGACGTGCATTGAAACAGACGATCAGCGATTCTATGTTGCTACCGATCAAAATGGTTCACCTCTCGTAGTATTTGATGTAAATGGAGAGATCGTGAAAGAAATCAAACGCTCGCCTTTCGGAAAGATTGTAAAAGACACGAACCCAGAGTTTTATATTCCTGTGGACTTCCAAGGAGGCATATACGACGATTACACTAATCTGATTTACTTAGATGGCCGTTTATACGATCCTGTTGTTGGTCAATGGATGACTCCCAGCTGGGAACATCTGGCTAGCAAGCTTCATCTTCCTACAGATATCTTTATCTATAGATTTAAGAATAACGATCCAATCAATAGAAATCAGAACACTCCTTATATGACGGACTTGGGCAGCTGGCTTCAACTTTATGGATACGACCTCAACAAGATGATGGGATCCAGATACATCACGAATATGATCTTCCAGCCGAAAGTAGAACTAACTGCACCAAGATTGACTCCTGATTTCGAAGTTTTGTCTGGATTGCAATGCATAATTGAAAAGGTACGTGATATCTTCGTCATATCTTTTTTTCTTATTTAAACACTTGGTTTGTTTCAATAAGTATGAAAATATTATAATTATAATTGTTTATTTTTCAGATAAGCCACAAACTCGCAGACATGAACTTTGTCCCAACGCCGCTTTTGAAAATGGAACCAATCACAAGAAACCTACTGCCACGAGTGTCATACAAACGTGGAGTTTTCGGTGAAGGAGTTTTAATATCAAGGGTCGATGGCAAAGCACTAATCAGTGTAGTTGACGGAGCAAACAATGTCGTAGAAGATGTGATCACTACTGTATTCAATAATTCGTACTTCTTAGATGTTCACTTCAACATCCACGATCAAGATGTATTCTACTTCGTAAAGGATAATACGCTGAAGATCAGAGACGACTTGGAAGAACTCAGGAGGCTCTCCGGTAAATTCAATGTGTCGCAAGATGAAACTAATGATCAAGGATTAGAGGTAAATTATATTAATTGTCATTGCTTATCAACTAATCCAATATCACCTTGTTAAATACGAAACTTAAAAATTATGTTTGTGATGTTTCAGGTCCGAGTGCACGCTGTTGGAAAAGGTTCAGCGCAAGCAGTCATCGTCCTCAGATACGGTGTGGATCCTAACCAAGAGCGCATCAAACTTCTAAAACACGCACATAAACGAGCAGCAGCCAGGGCTTGGGAACGCGAGAAGGCTCTGGTTGCAGCCGGTTGGGAGGGCAGAGGTTCTTGGACGGAAGAAGAGAAAGAAGAACTTATATCACACGGAATCGTGGACGGCTGGGTAGCCAGAGACGTCCATTCCGTATCTAAGTACCCTCAACTAGCCGACGACCCCGCGAACATCGTGTTTGTACGCGACAGTAGAAGAAAACGAAGAAAGAGTGGGAGAGCGCGACACCGCTCATAATTTTAACGTGCCATAAATCAACGCCATTTTGATTTCCAGATTTGACACTGGCTATTCTTTTAGGAATAGCAGTTTCAAATGTGGAACGCCGGTATTTAGTTCTTAAATATTTTTTTATAGGACTGATGAAGTGTTTATACGTGAATAGGAATGACGGGTGAGGCTCCTGTGATCGGTGTGTTACTGATGGTTGCGAAAAATAGGAGCTATTGCTAGGACTGAGTGGGGAAAAAGTTTTGTAATGTTAGTTTACGGTTAGGTTAAGATTGACTGGAGACCGAAAGATATTTTTTGTTAAAAGTATGTTTATTTTCGTTACGTACTTATGCGTTACAAAGCTCATTACTTTACTTGCTTTATGCCCTTCGTCGTTGAACTGAACTGAATCTCGTAACAACTCACTACAGGGTACCGAGTCATAAATAAATAAATCTAAATAATAAAAGAATAATAATAACGTGACTAACTGAGCATAATACTTATAAAATCATGGATCCAAAATACTCAATACGCAATCACAATTTAAACTTTTTTATTATTTCAATGAAATATTTTTTTATCAATTATTATTTGATAACGCTAACTATACGTAAATAAATCAAGTAGGATGTTATTATTTATCACAAAATCCATATATTCCTATTAAGTTTTAGCCAAATATTTTGTTCTATCCTTACATATTTTAGGTATTTGTAAATAAAAAACATATATTTTATTCTTGTAGTTGTTCCTTTTATAGACCTAAGGTCTTTTTACTTCGCAATACTAACACTATTTAGCAATAATTTTGTATTTTATATCCTCTAATGTATCTGAATCTTTAAATTTAATGACATCCATATTTTCTGCTTGTTATGGAACCACGTTATCGCCGACTGCCTTCTAAAGTTGTTACATAAAATTTGTAAGAGATCAGATCCCATGTTGGCGTGAACTTGTCATTTAAATATTCCTTATATTGTAATCATACCTATACTTATTTTTGTTAACCGAAGATTAAATAATATCTTGAGTAATTTGCAATGTAGATAGATGTCATTTAAAAAATTCTTGTACTTTCAAGTGACGCCAAAAGCTAATGGTAGGGAAAAAGGTTTGCTTGAACTCCAGCTTACTGACGAGGAAATGAAAGTACACCTGAATATCCAAGCAGCGCCTATCATAATGGTCATACAAACAAATAGAACACAAGTACACAACACGGCCGACTTAGAAAGACTGACTAGACTTTCACTTGAAATGTCAAGAAAACTTTTATGTTCACTCTTCGTTAGTTCTTTTATTGAATTAAAAAAAAAGAAAAAAATGGTACCGCCCCAAAAAAATTTCAACTTTATTCCCATTAGACGTGTTTTTCAGTAAAGTAGTAACGCCTTTTTATCCGAACGGAGCGACAGAGTTCTATGTAGCTTAAATAATCCCAACAGTAGCTTGGCAAAGTAAAATAAAAATAAAAAATAGTCTAAATAAAATCGAAACTAATTAAAGTTACAGTCAACGTAATACGTACATTCTGCATGTGTTGTGCAATAATCGAACAGTAGATCTTATCGTAACCGTTTAGGAACAAACTTCTTGCTGACTTAACAGAACGTTTACTAGAGACTGAATTATTGTTTCCGCTCCTCCGCGTAGCCGCCCGGCCATGTTACCCGCTCCTCTAGACGCCATGACGCCAGTGATGCGGCGTAACATGAGCAGCGCAGTTGCAAATGTTAATACTATTGTGATTCGTAGGATGTTTCCTCAACGATAAGTCAGCGAGAAGCACAAATTGTAATTAAAAAGTAGATATTTATAGTATATGTCCATAAATGTGTCTCATTTAAAATGTGGTGTCTATTCTGTGTTAGAGATACTTTAATGATAGGTGACTAAGTGGCCGGTGATAGGATGAGAATATTTTTTACAAAAAAAAAGTATAGATTTGGTGAAGTAAATTCAAAATTCAAATCTATCGGGTCGGGCGCCGAAGGCCCGCGCGTTGGTGATATTTTGGAAAATGTGACTAAAAGAAGCAATACTGTAATGTAATACGTCTTACTCTTTATTTAGAACTTTAAGGTGTATTTTTATTTGAAATTAATTAATAATATAATAATATATCTATTGTGAATGTAGTTATTGATTTCATGGTGATATTTAGAGCGGTATGTTATCTTTTTTATGATGTATAAAGAATTCTAATTTGTAAATAGGTACTTAATTGAGTATGTAATCTGTAAAAATATTGTACATATCTTTACGCTTGAATTATTTATAATGTAACCCGATAAGGATTTTAGGATAATGATGAATTGTAATATATCATAATTGAAGGGATTTTACCGAGAGGTTTTTATCGTTTGGATATAGACTGAACAATAAATAAATGGTAACGTTTGATGTATATCCAAACGGCTTTCCGACTGTCGCGTGAAATGAGGTTATCAACCTTTTGGCGGGAAAATCGTTTTGAGTGACAGCTCTTGACATCCATAGACTTCAGCTTCTAGATTTCTTTAGAGAGCTTACAGTGTACGATCTTCACACGAAGCATTTACATGTAGAACTGATTTCCTCGTAATGCATTTAATTTGTATGTAGATATGGTGCATAGACCCCATTAAAATACTCTGAATGTGTATAGATAGTCAACAGTCATACTCTGTTAGTCGGGAGAGTGCGTGCTGACCACGCGAGCATGTACGATAATAATAGAAAGTATTCTAATGGAATATGTAATAAAAGTATTAAAATATAACATACTGGTTTCATTTTCACCCTTTACATAAATAAATAAAAACAAAGTTTGCATTATAAAAATAATTTATTTCAGTATAGAAATAAATTCAAGTGCTTATATACAACTAGTGATATGTTTCACAATGGAATAGACTCGTTTAAACCAACAAATCAACAATAGTTATATACAAAAAATATTAGCACAACGAATATATCTTTTCTATAATATTACTACACACATAGCCTATGTTGTACAAAATGCGAAGTGACAGCTTCAACGACAATCAAAGCATTTTCTAATTCAACGGTTCTGTTATACGAAAAAGGTTAATCGAATGTATAAACGTTCAGTTTTTAAATTTAATTCATTATTCTTTGCTTCATAAATCAAATAACATTTATTATACATGGATCAAATTAATACTGATAATTTAAAAGAAGATATTTTGCTGGTACATTATTTTCATCAAAAAGTATAACATTTTTTATTCTTCTTACATTATGATATATGTTATAGTACCTCCTGTTAGATTTTCCTTGAACCTCATTGGTAAAACAGACTGACCTATTTTATAAAATAAAACGCTGTCTTTTCCGACAGACTAGTAAAACTATTGTGTTAATTAAAATGTATTTTTGATTAATATTTTTTATTGAATGAATATAAGCAAAAAGTATCTTCTCAAATATTCTAATATAAAGCAGATTCAGAATTTAATAGGTGGACGGATCGTGCCCTTAGAATTAACCATTGCCGTACAACAGAATCGACTAACATAATAATTTGGCAAATATTACCTAACCATGGTCACGGTAATACAATTTAATCATACAAAACAATTCATCACTTGCATATAACATCTACCGTGACCATATTTCATACAAAAAAGACCATTCAATGGCTACTAAGGCCTACCTTTGCCTCTTAAAGCGCGTATTAAAAATACATCCTAATTTAACATTTGGAAGTCATTATAGACGCCTAACTACAAATTTATATGACATAAATATTTGCTACTACAACTACATACATTAACAGTTTACATTTTAAAACTACTATTACACTGTTATTTTTTATTTATTCATAAAATTACATCGATAAATATGAATATGTGTCTACCGCATCGGGGTTCAACAGACTCAATAAGATATTTAGTATACAAAGAACAAGTTTTCAACCGCATAACAGTTTCATTGCATATATATATCGCGAGACAAAACAGCAAGAATCATTGCTTTTATTCGGTTTCTTGTTTGACAAAACTATGCAATGAAAAAGAAACACGGTTTCACCCTAATGCGTCCGGGGACGAAAAAAGGTTTATTATTTTCAGAAAAGTTTTTTAATCTGCTTTTGTTAATACTTTGCCTGTCATAAAATTCTTAAATGCTCTGTTCACTAGTGGGCAGTGACCAATTCTTAAATAATATGTATCTAAAACAAGCATAAGCATATTATTAATATTTTTATGAATAAGTCTGTTTCATTTACCTACACTTTAATTTACATAGATAATACCACAATACCTATCTTTAACAGAATATTATTTGAATTTTAATAAATAAAGTCTGTCTAAGATGACTAATATCGTTTTCAACTTTTGTAACGAAAATGCAACAAAAAAATAATGCCATATTACAATTATTATGCTAAATGCGTTATCAACCTAAAGCCACCAAAAACCAACCTTATTGGCACAGAATAGGGATGGAGTTTAAACAAATATCTAAAATAAAATATTGGCTATTTGTTGACAGTCAGGAATATATTAGGACCGTCGTAATTTGCGAATATCGTCATTATTTTATAAGGAGAAAGTCTTATTTTAGATTGACATATTTTGCCATAAAGACTAGATTAACTTAAATATTGTCAACAAGCCTAATTGGATCAGTTTCTATAGACATAGTTTTGTTTTTGAAGAAAAGCCTCTTCGCATATTATGGCAGTTTCAAAATATATTTACACATGGAGAAAATAACTATTTTTGGACAATTATATACATACCTACAAACATTATAATAATAATTATAAAACACCAATAATTTTAACACTGGTCATAAAAATATCGGCATTTCAATATTTAATTTTATTATATTAAAATAGTGCGTTATTTAAAAAAAGAACTTTTTTCAACATCATAATACAAAATCAGTCATATTGAAATAGGTTCGAGCACATAAAAATAGTTTTCATATCAAATATGTCACTAGGCATAGAATTTAAATACATTATATCAAAAGGTTTTTTTAAAAAAAACAGGTTAAATATAATTTATTGAAAATAACGATTTACTCTCTAGCTACTAAGCTCTACTAATTTTAAGTCAAAACGGGACCCTTATTCATGAGCAGCGTGCACGTCCCGGCGACGTCGCGCTTAATTTATTAACGTGAGTAAGTAGTTAGTTAGTAATTTAAGTTATTTTCAATAAATTCCCAAAGTACGCCTCAAGATAGTTACTATTCAAAATTAAAAATAAGTTAAATATAGGACAAAAAATTATTATGGTTTTATAATACAAATTAGTAATAGCACCAAGAATTTACTATTTTTTCCCTAAACATACTGTCATCACGAGCTTATGGAGTCGTGAGATTCAAGATATTATTATTTTATACATTAAATTAAGTGTGGTAATGGAATGTTTGTGATGAATATATAGAGGTAAAAAAATATTACAGAAAAACTTTACAGTACGAAATTGACTTGTCAATTGAATCTTTGTTCATTTTAATTTGATAAATTTTCAGTTTTTTATTTCTATTGAAGCTAAAATATTCGAAACACAGCAAAGATATAAAGTCGGTCACGCCGTTCAAGTGTTATACATGGTGTAACTAAAACGACACTTTTACATAAATATTTTTTTCTATACATCTACATACTTATATTTATTATTTAAGTATATTATTTCATAATATCGAAGTCAACACATAGCTACCGAGTATAAATGCGACCACGGGCAACATTGATGTTCTATAAACCTAACTATTTACATCCTACAAAGCTAGACTAGTAATATTGAACCTAAACATAAAGACTTTTTGGTAAAATTTTATTATTTCCAAACAAATAAGTCTAGACGGCAGCACATGAAGCTACCCCAAACTGAAATTAACACAAAATTCTTTTAACGTAATAACTGACATAATATACTCAATGTGTAGAGAAATCTACCTCATCTGTTTGTAATACCAATAAAGGTTATATACCTATCCACAAAGCGTAATATAATAAACACATAATCTTGAATAAAAATACATATTAATTTTTATTTTTACTAAAACCATTTACATACTGAAAAGACCATGCGTTTATTTAAGAACACCTTGAATAATGTATCCAACAAGACAGACTAACACATAAAATGTTGCACACAACGAAATATTTCACATCTTTTACAAAAAAAATACGGGATCTTACTTGCACTTATTAGGGATCCTCTATAGGTCCAGTGACTCTTGTCTTGGCTAAGGTCCACTTGGCCATCATCTCTTTGTCCACGAAGTCCACTGTCCACCGTTGGGTTTCCCGTGCCAAGTCACAGGTGTTGATAAAAAGGTCTCTAGTTGTAGGGCGCCACTCTATGCAATGCTCGCCGGAGCCGTGTTTTATTTGTTTCGTTTCCTGTAAGAGTTATTGTGTTTAACTTCATTAGTTATCTGCGTAGACGAATTTTATTAATCTTTGACTTACATTTTATTTATTGGTCTAATTTGGTGGCTATTTAAACGCGACTCTTGAGCAAGCTTTGTAAGGTGTGATTGTGGTCAAATTAAAAAGGTCCATTCAGTGTTTTTTGATATTTTCAGCAATATAATACAATCTAGTGTATGGAAATAAACTCAAATTTTACCTCCCAAACCGTCTCCAACATTAACTTGAGATTAAGCTTACACAACTGATACAAACATCATTAATCTCTTCGTCTAATAAAGTCTTTTTCAAATTAGAAAAATATAACAACATTGTCAAATAACACATTATTTTAAATGTCTAACTAAACTAACTACAGAGAAAGAAAAATATAATCATAAAAAATACATACGGTTAGATATTTCCACAACTGATTGCCACCGCCAAGGTGACATGAGAACAGCTTTATAGGACTATCTGATGCAGTCTCGGGGAGATCCCAACACATGTTGCGAGATGATACTCTGGAAACGAAATAAATCTATGTAAATAAAAGTGGATCTCCAAAACCCTACCAATCATCTCTTTTACAGTGGCGTCTCTTATAAAACGACTATAGTTTTTTTTTAACAACAAAGCTCCACTCGCAATTAAAGGCGACCGGATTAATCTCATGCCCTATATCTTTGTGTTATGCTGTGTGTTTATTAAGGTTACTCGATGACCAATCTTCTCTCCTCTCAGTCCTAATCCCAAAACCACGAATCCTTAAAACCGAATATACAAAAAGCCAGCTGCGCGCTTGTTGTCTTTCGGTGTTGCGGGTGTCCATGGCCATCGCCAATTACTTAACATCAGGTAATCTGTCTGCTTGTTTACCGCTCAAATGCAAAATAAAATCATTTCTTTCAAATAGACCAAAATAGGCACTTTTCAACTTTGTGTATCAGTCTGTTCTCTATTGAAGCTGTTTGCCTTTAGCTAGTGAAGCCATATATCATAAATGTTATCACAAACGCATTGCAAACATGGAAAGTTGTTGATTGCCCTTTGTTGCAACAATTATCAATTTCTTCATTCAAACAGTCAGAAATTATAAAAGATTGGTATACGAGTACTGACTTGATATCCTTATGCCAGGAGAAGATGAAGTTCTGTTCAGGATCGACGACGTCGGCACAATCCGTGATGCGCAGTCTATCGTGCTTCTCGCCGTCGCGCGCGTCTATACATACATTTGGGTTGGATACCGGTCGCACCTAGATATACAATAAAATGTATTTAAATAGATACAATTATCTTACTAATATTATAAATGTGAAAGTTACAATGTTTGATGTTTGTTACTCAATCACGCCAAAACGGCCGGACGGATCTGGATGAAACTTGACACAGGCAAGCTGGTTAAATTATAAATACGCGCTAAACAAGCCTCTTTTAAAACTCATGACTATAAATGGATCTCCCCTACAAAAGATGTTTTATACAGTTTGGGTCGCAATTTAAAAGAATCAGGTTTATCAGAGAGTACCAGCCCAGCCTGTCATTAGTCAATACAGAAAATAATGTGATGATTTGTTACATTTCTATAATATCTATCCTGAGACGGAGTCTTGTTCTCAATGTATTCCCGAGAACAAGTTGTTATTTGAATGAATTCGTCCTTTTTCGAGTAGTCGCAGTCTATTTACTGACACTTCATACATTTTTGTTAAGATTATTTATATAAAAAGTTACTTACCCGTCCTTTAGCGAATGGTTTCGGCTCTATCGTCGGGTACTTGACTGTTAGATCAAATGCAATCTGAAAACACATAATTAAATCATTAAGTTTCTTCGGAAAACCATAATTTCTTATGCAAAGTAAAAAATAAATAAATTACATTAGAAACTTAGTAAGTCTTATTTCAAGAGGAGCACTGGCTTTTGTTTGAGGAGAAAATCATCAAATGACTGCTCCTACCCATGGTAGGGCGAGTGACTCAGTGGTCATTGCGCTTCCCCCCCCCCCCCACAACCCCGGCTGAACATCAGCCCTATAGGGCCCCGTCTGTGATGGTCTATTGGCTCTTTGAGCGCAGAACGCTACGCGCCGTATGCTCGGCAAGAGGAAGACTGCCTAAGGATCAAAATCTGTCATTTATCGCTTCCACTCAACTCCGTTTGAAAGACTGAAGTCTTCTTGAGTCCATGGTCTGAGCTGATTCTTATCATCTAGTGGTTTTCCTACTCGTTTGTCACCCTATCTATATTAAAATATACTAATAATAATATACGCTTACCTGCGTCATAAACCACCTAAAGGACTTGCATTGTAATCGCTGTCGCAGCGCCTTCTGTTCGGAGATGTCACCGGGATCGATGTTACGGTAGTGAGGACGTCTTGCGTATAAGAACTGTGCATATTCGTCCATCCATACTTCGGCTACACGACGGTAATTCTGTAAGGATATTTGTGAAGATTTTTTTGAAGCACTTCTTGTGGATGGTCGTCTTAGCTACGAAACTGCCGTGTGTTGTAATATCACTAAATAGTACGTCACTTTAACTTCCGTTGTTATCTGTCATCTGTCATGGTCTATTTGCTTTGTGAGGGAACTATGTAACCGTGGTGCTAGAGCTAATGTGGCTGTGCGTTATAAAATAAAACTCAAGTTAACCAAGATTCAAGTCCCGCATGGAGTCCCCGACCCCGACGGAATGGGCTACGAAGGTCACTGTCTTAAAGTAAGAAGTATCTGGAAGACTTTCATTTATATTACACCGTGGGGTCAAATATAGCGTGAATTTACTTTTATTTTAATATACAGCATGAATTATAATTTAATTGCTGAATTAAAGATAGGTTAGATAGAAATTTCGACCTGGAAGGTCGGGAAAATAATTATTGGGCGCAGTCAGAATAACCAATACAATAACAATAATAGTTCGCGGCTGCTATATGAGCCTCTTAGGTTTTGCGGTAATAAAAAGTTTATCCGCTGCTTTACGATTGATGCCAAGTGTACTTAATATAGCACAGCGGCTATAATTGAGTAGTTTCCTAGGTCAAAAATAAATTAATTCGACGTTTCAATACAATAAAATATTGAAAAATAACTATAAGTACTTTTAAGCATCTATCGATCAATACACTAAGTTTTAGATATTTTATAGCTAATTATTAAGTAAACTATTTGACGCAAAACTACTATGACGTTATAACTCAGTTTTTCATCCAAATTTCATAGAAAAGTAAGTTTGGATAAAAGTATTGAATTTGACTAGTTGGAAACTATCGTATTATGATAAGTTTGAATTCCGCTTCATAACCAGCGCAATAAACTATGATCAAAAATGTTCACTCAAAAAGTCCTTACCTTGCCAACAAAATCACCATGTCCAGGATTGGGGAATGGCGCGAACTTGCGGTAGATATGACCGACGCGGGAACATGGCGCGTCTACCATGCGACCACCGCATTGCCATATCTGTAACCAATTATTTACACATCAAATACCTACATATAAAGGCAAGCCCTTTCCGATCACATCCATAAAAGACTGCACAGCACGGAACAACTCTTTGTGTCATCCACAGATTGTTGTTCCGGGTCTGGGTGTGATGTACCTACATGTGAAATTGTATGTTTGTAAACGCACCCACGACACAGGAGACAATGCTAATGTGGGGCAACGTTTTATAAAAAAAAAACAAAATCTACACTATTTACTAAAATCTTTGATCGAGCTAATCTGCGATTGAGCTACATGAAGCATATTTAAGAAGAATATTCACATACCTTAAAACTTAGCTCGTACTGTTCTCCACCCCAAATGTCCAATCCAGGATCGTATCCACCGAGCTCCCAGAAAAATTTACGCGATATTGCGAACAAACCACCAGCCATTACGGGACTCCTACAAGGAAATTGATATATTAAATTAATCGCTATAGCTTACCAAATACTGTTTTAAGGAAAATATTAACATAATATCAAATGTTTTATTCGCCGTAAGCACTCGGCATGCATTCATGATAGCAGCACTCATTAAAGCCGTATTTTATTATCTTCATATAAATTAACATAGGTAATATCTGTGGATACGGTCAGCGTAGTCTGTAGACGGCCTAATATGGTAGAAAAGGAAATTAAGGGGGTACATAAAGATTCATCGCCCGAATGCAGGGAGCTGTTACATCGCATCTTCAGTCTGCTTGCGACCACGACCTGTGCAACCAGGTCGAAACGTCAAGCCTACCAAGATGTTTAAATGATATGTTGTAAATATGAAACGCGAAAGTTTAAAAGTTAGTATATTATACAAATTATGTTCTATATTCAAATTCGAATATGGGTCTCCAACACGGTATAAAAACATTACGAAACCTCGACCACATGACATGTGTACTACCTCGTGAGCTAATTCAAGATATTTTATATATTTAACGTTCTAAGCTTTCACGGGTTCTGGTCATGAGGAATGGCGACATCGATTATCATCGTTCGGCGCGAACAAGATATACCTTAATTCTTAGCCGAACAAAATTAAATGCTTTACAGTTGACAACAAACTAAACATCAAGATACCTAAAATACCGATAGCATCTCCACTAAAAAATATATTATCGCATTAGCACTTAATGTTACGATATCATAATGAATAATTGTGTTAATTCTACAAGTTGTATAAATTCCACATAAGTAACTACATAAGTCGAGTTATAGGTTTACAATCACTTATCAATTTTAATTAAAAAAGTTTAGTATTACCGATAAGAATCCTCATAATTTCAATAATTACATAATGTATGATTTGATTAATGTTTTTTTTTTTATTTTGAGAGCCTGGGCGTGGCTGTTATGAGTGTCAGTCTCTTATTGCCTAGAAACTACAATGTTCCGTTTCCTGCTCCAGGCTAAAGTTGCGGTACAACATTGCGTTTGACCCACAGACAATGCAGACTATCATCGCTTTTGGGCCCCATCCGTCTGCTGGTATTGATACTTTTTTATTGTTTCGAACGAATCGTAATACCTGTATAATATGTAACAGCTATTTTTATTTAGATATTTTTTAAATAAAAACTATTATTTTATTTTATTTACCTGCTGACCCGGTAGCCATTACCTACTTTATACTTTAATAGTGACAGTTTTGACCGTAGTCAAACATCTGGAAAGACATCAAGAATAGTTTATATTCATATAGGAACGAAATTTTTTTTTTTATATATTTATTTATTTATGTTAACACGGTTTTGATCCAGTTACATTAACACAGATATAATAAAGGAAAAGAAAAAAACGAAATATAAAAAGATGAACTTAAAACAAACAATTAATCATTTTATTGCAATTAACAGGGTAAAAAGTATGACTATATGTGTGTGTAATTCATCAACCCAAATTTTGTTAATTCCATTGAAAAGTTTGAAAGTGAAAGAATACTTGAATATTGAGCATAAGTTGCATGTATTAGGGGTACTGAAGACATACATGTATATAAAATTAATTTTGACCATTAGTTAATCTCTTAGTTAAAACAGAACTTTCCATATGTATTGAAAAATCTAAATATGAAGGAGATTAAGAATATTAGTATCAATAGCGGAATAGAACTCATCAAATAAGTGCATTAAAGATTACCCGTGAAATTTACATTAGCAGCCAGTCAAGCAAATCAAACCGTTATTGCAAGGCAATAAAATCTGTTGTCGTATGGATAATTTCACTTAACCTAATAATGTACGCTTGATTTATCTGATGTTCGTGCATTACTTTTTAATTTAAAGAAAGATAAGTTATCTAGTAACGTGTTGTATATCTACTACATTTGATGCACAAACCAATATAACCGGATTTTATCAATTCTCGAAAATAACAAACTGTAATCTATAATTAGGTTAATATAAAAATGTAATCATCAAATCTTGTACCCAGATAAATATTAAAGTAAATATTAGATTTTACTGCCTATGCTATGTAAAGAAATATAATTCAATTAAATAGATATTTATTTTGCTGCCACATTACTTCAGCGTATCTTTTTTTATGGTATAAGTCGGCAAACGAGCAGACGGATAACCTGATGGTAAGCAATCGGCGCCGCCCATGGACACCCGCAACACCAAATGAGTGCGTTGCCGTTGATTTAAGCATGCCTTAATCTTTAAAACTCGCAACGAATTTTGATGTGTTTTTTTAATAAATAAGATCCACTGAAGAGATAGATTTATATGTTTAATAACATACATGAAAAACTTGAGAAATTTAGTACGGGGCGGGGCGTAATATCATCTATACTAATATTGTATGTAGGGGGTTATCTTTGGAACCGCTGGCCGGATTTCAAAATTCTTTAACTGACAGATAGCTAAAACGTTCCTGAGTGCTATAGGCAATAAAACATCACGCTACGATCAATGGAGCCGAAAAGCGAGTGAAACCGCGTGACCCGCGTGAGCAGTAGCTAGTAATCTATAAAAGTGTTAAAGGTACCTAAGGAAAATGTGTCACTTACTCGAAAGGTTCAGGCATATTCTTTTCATCCTTAGGCAGTATAGGCAATCGCTTATAGAAGAACTCCCAATCAAAAGCGCCTCTGGCTCCCTCATCCTGTGCGCGGTACTCAAACGTATCGTACGCAATCACGTCAATAAACGGACAGACAACCGTTCGGTAATCCAAGGCTATCGGTTCTGTGGGAAAGGAAAAGGATACTCTTTAGATAATACAGTATATTACTTTTTTTATGTAATTGGTCAGCAAACGAGCATTCGAATTACTTGATGGTAAGCAATCAGCGCCGCCCATGGACACCCGCAACGGAGGAGTTACGAGTGCGTTGCCGGCCTTTTAGGGATTAGGGATTTGGAGATTTAGGGATTGAGAAGGGATTGGGGGAGGGGAAGGATTGGGCCTCCGGTAACCTCACCCACACGGCGCAACACAACGCTGTGGTTGTTTCACGCCGGTTTTCTGTGAGGCCGTTACTTATTAAAAACATAAAGTCTTTTGACAGATAAATAGTTCCATAATATAATAATGTATATATTGCGTAAAGATTGCGCAAACGTTTGCGGAATCTATAACACACACATTTAACGCTATGACGATGATGATGGCTATCAAAGATGTCGCAGAAATGAAAAAATAAATACCTATTCAAGTAAGTTTTAGTATAGTTTACATTATATAGTTTATTTATTATATAATGTAAACTATATTATATAGTTTACATTATATTATATAGTTTACATTTACAAAGATTCATGTAATTACATGAATCTTTGTAAATGTCTTTCTTTTTTATTTTCAATTTACGCGTTTTCCCAAAGTAGGAATTTCTTTGCGACACATTTGTGCGTATCAAATGCACACATCAAATCCAGACCTGAGAGGATCACATAAAAAATGAATTATAACGTGGGGGAATCCAGTATACTTTATAGTAGCCAGTTGTCCAGTCACTTCGGCAATCTTGCGGTGAAGTCAGTGTAAGGAAGACACTTTTTTCAAAGGCCATGCGGCCACAAAGCCTCGTCGTAAAGAGGTTTCTTATAAAAGACTTATGAAAGGCACTTTTGATTTTAATTTTCTTGACTCCACGCTGGGCGTAGTGGTTGGACAACTGGCTGCTATGCATGCAGGGTTCGATCCCGGCACGAAACAACACTTTGTATGATCAAGAAAATTTTGTTTTAGATCTAGTTTGTGAATGTGAATTTTAAGTTTGTAAACGCATCCAGGACACATGAGGAAAATCGCTATGAAAAAAACACTTATCTAGCTGTTGGATCAGTTCTAAGCTTGAAAATTTCCTGAGCGATAAATCTTACTATTATTATAAATGCGAAAGTTACGATGTTTGAATGTTTGTTACTCAATCACGCCAAAACGGCCGGCCGGATCTGGATGAAATTTGGCACAGGCATAGGATACATTCCGGAAAAGAACATAGGCTACTTTCTATCAACATAACGCGCGAAGCCGCGGGCGGAAGCTAGTACAAATATACGACAGCAAACTAATACATACACAGACCTAGTAGTGGCGGCAACCAGTTGACGTTGGCTTCGGTGTGGGAATCCAGGAAGACTAGTACATCAGACGTAGCTATCTTCGCTCCAGCTAAACGAGCCGTGATCAGTCCGCTACGTTTCTCCAGCCTTATGACTTTCACCTTTGGCATATGTTCAGCCAGATAAACTTCCAATTTCTCCTTTAAAAAATCTGTAAAATAAAAGAAAGGACTTATTATAAGATTGCAACATGTTAGTGTTATTATCTTATACTTAAATAAAATTAATCCCAATTTCGCTTGGTCATAGCATCCGGCGTGATCGGCTAGATCGAATCCAATTTTATAAACTGTGTTTTGCGAAGGTCCGGGGCAATTTCTTATCAAGGTCTACTCCTGCTGTTAATGATGGTTCATCAACAAAACAAATGACTGACACCGAGATATTTAGACAAACGTGGAAAGCTGGTGTGGGCCGCTAGTTTTCTTAATAGATAGTGTTAAAATAGGGTGAACAGACGCAGAAGCGGGGTGAATAGAATCTATTTACGCCTTTTACGTTTTACTCCTAATTTTATTTAGCCCTTTGTACGGTATTAAAAATTACTTTATTTTTTCGTTACTTATTTTAAAAAAAGAAACAACCTAGGTTGACTCTACCTAAGCTGGACTAGCTGTGTCGTCAGTCGATTGCAAAAAATATTGTAAAGCATACCTCGCTTCTGTTATGTAACTATCTAGGTACATACTTATGGAATAATAAACAATGAGCATACCCCGTGTTAAGAGAGTCCGTTCACATGTAGGTATCATTGGTAAGCTACAATGTCATGTGACTATTTATTATAACAAATACTTAATTGTAAATAACAGTCGATAATAATATTATGAATAACATCTACAAGTGAACGATCATAGTCACAGAAAGTGTTACGACGTTATATTGAAAACACTTCGCATGTTACAACTCTGTAGATAGAATTAAATAATTCCGGATATAAATTGGTTTAGGGTTCCCCTCCTATTCTCAATCTCCAAATATCTTCGAATCTCTAACTCCGAAGAAGCCGGCAACGTAATGTAACGGCAACGTAACCTAACATATTGTTGAGTATGCATATTGGGTGGTATTGCTTTGTTTTGTTTAAAAAAGCATTGCTTAGACTAGGATTTCGTCCTGTCTGCATTTACAAAACATACAATTTCACAAAAACATCACACCCGGACACGAAACAACAATTTGTGAATCATACAAAGATTTTCGTTACTTGTGGTTGTCCATGGGTGGCGCCGATAATTTACCTTTGCCGGGCTTCACCATAAAAAAACCCGAAGAAGAAGACTTCAAAAATGATGGTTTTGCCCGACCGACTCGACAGGATCAGGAAGTAATTGCTCAACTTGTCACGCTTAATAACTTGACCAGGTTTTAATTTTAAGTAGGTACCCAAAATATACATCAAATAGGCAAGACGGCTCTATTCTTGACCAAAAGTGTGCCTGTCCGTATTAAAAAATCGTTTTACTAAAAAACTACTTATCGGTAGATAATTTTCTTTTAGGGATCAAATCGTTCCGCAGAAATTCCCGAGTGAAGTGACAACTTTGTGTTCCTCAAATAAGTAGTTCTGATTTATTTAATTGCGGGATCCGATACGTGTTCACTATCGTATCTAGGTTCTGTAGATCTTGGCTGACTGAAGTTGCAACGGTTAACGGTTAGCTTAGGTACCCTAATAAAAAAATTGCTTTTCCTGTTGACGTTATCAATTTTTAACCATGTGAGCGTCAATACCAAGCCTACCTACAATACTCAATAAACGTAGGTATTAAAATGTCACATCTGAGATAACAATACTCGCAAGAAAGACATAAAATAACTATACCTTAATATGTAGTTATATCTACCAAATGTTATTGAAAAGTATTTACATACATTTGCAATTCATAGCAAAGCATATGTATGTCGCAGGGATATGATAAAATCAGGGATTTGGCCAAATCCCTAAGGGATTTGATCAAATCACGGAGGATGTTAAAATAACAACACGTTTTTATCATTTCCCTAAGCAAATCTAGTGATTTGACAAATCACACTAAAGAAATCTAGTGATTTGAGCAAATCCATAAATTGGTTCAGTGAAATGACAAAAATAGGTAACTTTTGTGATATTTTTAAGGTTTATTTTGTAAGATTACCTACATAATTATAATAATCAGGTGTATCAAAATGCAATACTAATCTCAAAAATCACCACTAGAACATTATTAATTGAAAAAGGAGAAACAAATATTAAAAAAAAATTTTAAGTTAAGGCGCGACTGACAAGCAAGTGCGAGCGCGACGTTTTAATAGGTCGGCAAACGAGCAGACGGATTACCTGATAATAAGCAATCAGCAAGCAACGGAGGAGTTACGAGTGCGTTGCCGACAATTTAGGGATAAGGGATTTGGAGATTTAGGGATTGAGGAGGGATTGGGGGAGGGGAAGGATTGGGCCTCCGGTAGCCTCACTCACACGGCGAAACAACGCTGTGGTTGTTTCACGCCGGTTTTCTGAGAGGCCGTGGTATCACTCCGGTCGAGCCGACCGATTCGAGCCGAAGCATGGCTCTCCCACACTTCTTAAACAAGAACTGGACATGTTTTATTATCATTTCACTAAATAAATTTAGGGATTTGTTCAAATCACTAGATTTGCTTAGGGAAATGATAAAAACGTGTTGTTATTTTAACATCCCCCGTGATTTCATCAAATCCCTTAGGGATTTGGCCAAATCCCTGATTTTATCATATCCCTGCGACATGTATAACCTATAAGCAACATTTCTGCTTTCTACCTATTCCAATAAATAAGTATTGTATATAAACAAACAATTATTTGTATACTTAAGTCCAAGTAATAGCATTAATTAGCATATACACAATCCATAGCTCATAATGTTAACTAACATCCATATAAAATTGTTGGACCGTGACAATAGAAAGCCAATATTGTTGGGTGGCTTACAAATAAGGTCATATTGAAAATATGTATCACCTGTTTATATTGTTTGCCGTGCCTTCTTGTAAAGGGTATAGAAAATAGTACAATATCATCGACAAATACGTATAATTATTTTACATTACAATTGAATTTACACTTTGAAACGCGCACTTACAAACAGACGCGACTACTATAGTTCTATTATGAGGATTAAAAAATGCCTGTAGGTGTTTTTTACAAGCTTTTATTTACTTTTTTATAAACATCTAGTCGTACTCGTTAACCCTGTACGATCTCAAAAAGTTGAATGTCAATTTTATTACTTGTGAATAATCGTATGTAAATTATTGAACAATTTTTATGGGAAAAGAAATTTCAGTTTTTTCTACTTACTGCTCCTATTTATTGCTTCTTGCTAACTATTTATTCTTAACTTCCACACTCTAACTATATCAGTCCAGCCATTTCAAATCAAATAATTTCTAATACATATTGACCAGGCAAACATTATTTTGCCACATAACTTTTTTCGAAGATTAAGGGTGAATAACCCGTATCACTTAAGTGTATGAAAAATAGCCAATAGCCGGTTCCCAGAGCTACTGAATATGCTTATAAAATTTGGTAAACATCAGCCAAAAAGCCGTTTCAGAGGATTTAAGGTAAGGTACTTTACATTGTGACACGAGAATGTTATACATATTATTTAAGACAACTTATTAAGTGAAGGAAGAAGAAACAAGAAGATTGCTTTAAGAAAATATGTTATATATCTCATGTACCGAATAGGAGTGAACTCTGTGCTAATTTATATTTTTAACCGAAAATTCCCACCCATGCTTCGCATACTTGCCACCAGTCGACCATCGAGGCAGCAAAATCATTTCAATATTTTATTAACATCCGTGAAAAACTATTTGATTAAAATAAATATTATTGCTAAACAAATACAATTCGAACTGAAACAAATATTAACCGAATCTAATCAAATACCAACTCGTAGTTAAGTGAATCAGCAGTAAAACAGTAGAACATAATTAATTAAAAGTAACAAGTAGGTTAGTACTGGTTCTCGTAAATTTTTATAGTGAATTCGACATTAGCGTCTTGCTATACTTCAATTATTATAGGAAAGAAATCGATTATCTATACTCGTAATGTAGGTATTTTACTGATTTATTTTAAGCAATAAAAATAAAACTATTGTTGTGAATGCAGTTCCCTTCACTGTGTTGAGAATAATTTTTGAATCACAATGCCATTTTAGTAAGCAAAATAATTATATAGGTTGCAATGGCCTTCGTGCTCGCGAAAAGAAAAAAATAAGCAAAAAGTCCGATTATGAGCGTGCATGGAAACCAGTAGCTTCAACATTTTTTTATACTAGCCATAAACTCGATAAAGAATTGTAGTAAATATCTCGAGTAACTATATGGTTTGTCCGTGAGTTTATACTATGAGGTCATTTATTTAATACATGTACCTATAAGTACCTTATACTTTTTTGTGTGGGGAAAATCACCAAATGACTTGCGAGAGTATCAGACTCTTACTGACTAAAATCCCCCCTGTTCCTTCTCCTGCTCTAGGCCGAGGCCGCGGTGCCTTATTGCGCTTGCCCCGCAACCTCGGCGGAAAGAATATAGGTTCTTAAGTACTAAATATAGTCAATATCGATTTGTTCAGTCGAATAAACGCACTTAAGTTTATCGATCTACTGTTTTATTGATACTTATCCAAGTAGAATACCTACATACATGCACCGCACAATATGCACACAATCTTAGGCGGAACTACGTTTGAACCGCATGAGTTTTAGGGGCCCGGTCTGACTACGGCGAACCATTAAAATATTGTATTAAAGTAGGAACAGGCGCTTAGGTTGTTCCCGCCCCAAAACACACACAAAAGATTCGTCCAAATTAAGTTATCGTCAATCTACCTTGAGCAAGTAGCAATTGATGATCGTAGGTTATCCGTGTGAGAAGAGGCCTCAGTATGAGGTGGGTTTTACGCTTACCAACCTTCATACATTACTATTCATATTATAGGTACATATGTTTGTGTGAGCTCAGTGGATGACGCGGTCTGTTGCTGCAGTTTACGGCAAACGCATAACGAAGACAAGAGCAATTAAATCGCGGGAAGAATAAGATTTATTTTAGTAACTAACCCAAACGTTCTGAATATTAAATATTTGTAGTAGATCAATACTGTTCAGCCTCGGGTCACGCCTGGGGCTAGATTTGGGCATACTAAGTAGGTCACCGATTAAAACCCTTTTATAAGAACTTATTATTTAGGTACGAAGCAATTACTTTATTATTTTACACTGTTAATCACCTCAAAAGAAGGATATAATAAAATTAGTTAATGTTAAAAAATTTACATTTTGCACTTTCTAAATCTATATAAATAGAGATGAATCACTAATTTATACGTGTTGCCAAGCTCAAAACTTGAAATGTGTAGACGTGTAAACGTTTACAGCTAATTCCTTTTTTGCTAATATTCTTTAATGTCCAAGGAGGGTTATTAATTTCTTATGAGGAGAAAAGACGTCTCTCAAATCACACGTCTACTATTTTAATGATATGAATTAAGAGACATTCTACTTGTTTTATAAGCGCTAAAGCACGCGGTAAAATATTTTAATGTGTGTTATACTGGTTATACGCAACAATACGTAGGTACCTACATATCTAAATATATATTAACGTTACTTTAGCAATATTCTTTTTCAAATTTTGTCACACATAAGCGGTGCATTTATCAGACATGCATTTGCACAAAACACCCTCTAATAAACCTCCAATACTTTTTAAACTGATTTTCACAACCCATCCTCCAAGCGTGAAGGTAATGACAAACCCCAAGAAGGTTTAAAGTAAATATTATAAAGAGGTAAATTTTTTAAGTTTGTATTTTGTACGTTTGTGCGTAGGGGGTAATCTTTGGAACCGCTGGTCGGATTGCCAAAATTCTTTCGCAGATAGCTACAATGTTCCTGCGTACTACTTATAGGCTATAAAACATCACGCTACGATCAAATGGAGCTGAGCAGCGGGTGAAACTGCGCGAGAGTAGCTAGTATTTTATATCTAGAGAAGGTTGGGCTATGTCCAAAGGGAACCCTATGAAGCACTAAGACATCGCTGTCTGTCTGTCTGTCGGTCGGTCTGACTGACACCAGATCCGTATCACATGAATGAAGATACCTAGCTGTACAATTTTGTCATTTGGACGATGATGAATTTCTGTTGCCGCTGCAAGAATTTAATTACTACTCTCAAAAAAAAATACGGAACCCTTCGTGCGCGAATCAGACTCGTTTATATACAAAAACACTAATAAATCACAGCTTATGGAAACCATAAAGCTAGAATGTTTTAATTTTTATTTAAAATGAAATCCGGCCCTGCTCGCGATGTCTCGAGGTCAACCATATAAAGTTGTTCCATTTCCCATTCAATAACAGTGACCTTGACTTAAGTTGAAAGTCACGGTCCTTACCGTACAATACAGAAATTCCGATATTCTTCTTTCTACCTTTATCTTCAAAACGTGGCACATCCAATTATATGAGCTATTAATCAATACTAAGATTTCTATGTCGGTATCGCTTGAACGAGCTAAAGGGCCTATGAAGGTACCTACTACTTATCGGCCCCCGTTGCGCGTTGTTAGTTTACTTGTAAAATAATGCTATTACCTATAACCAAATGTGATCTTGGCGGTTATAATTCCTGGTTCGCACAAAGTCACCAAATAATATTACTTTTTATGACGATTCATAGGCAAAAATTCACTTTCTCTTTGAAGCTACTTATTGAGAATTCAGGTGTTCTCCAGTGTTACCACAGTAGGCAATTAAAATGATGCTCACTATCACAACCAAATACGTAATAACGACTGAATGAAAATCAGCACTGCCCATAGACGCCCCCAACACCTGAGGTGTTTACAAGTTCGAAACCGATGTTTCTGGGCCATTGGGCTCACAGTAACAGCGAAAAAAGTATAGGTAATGCAAGTACATTGACCTCTGACTACAGGAATAACAACCGTTTATAAAAATATCAACTAGAAATCTTACCTTTGGTACTTGCATCGTCGACTAGAATCACTTCCTTTAAGAGAGTGCTAGGCGAACGTAGCAACGCGCTAAACGCAGTCCTGAGCAGCGTACTCCAATGCTCGTTGTGGAAGGGAACCACGACACTCACAGTAGGCAAAGACGCAATGTAAAGCCGCGTCGCACATTTACTGTGACGAATGTCGGGAAGAGAACGGTTCAGTGGAATCTTGTCACTTAGTGCACCATTGAATCCATTTACAGAATACAACGCCTTTTCATGTTCACTTTCTGATTTTGGCAAAAATGCTGGTTTTCCTTGTTCACCAATTCCTAGGACGAAAAACAAAACATCCATGAAGTACAATAAATTAACTTACCTGTAATTAATTACCTTACATGTTATGCATAAGTCTTGGGGATGTTCAATATTAAAACTGGATAATCCAAGGAACTGATAGGTTTTTCAGGATCCTCTTTCTGCCAAAAAAGGATATGAATGTCAAGCTCCACCCCAACCTATGTAAGAGGTTTTGTGCACTCTTGGTAAGATGTCAGGTTTGAAATTATGTAGGTATTATCATTACCTACTCTACTGTTGTACCCAGTTGTACCAAACACCATCTTTAGTATTCTACCAATGTAGCTTGACTCTGTGTCAATGTGAGGCAATCCAATGTTTATATACAATGCTTGTAACATTATGAAAACATTTTTGCATGTATAAGCAAAAGAATCAAAATTCATTTATTAAATCCACACTAAATCTTTAGGTAAATTACAAATTCCTTTATCTAATAAATCAAGTATCACACACACAAAATCAAACCCATCACACCCAGTCTCAGAACAATAATTCATATTAAAAAAAGTTTATAATTGATAAGGTTAAGGAAAATAGAATCAGCCAGTGCTAAATAATATTCAATAGGTAATTTAAATTCAAAGTTAAAAAAAACCACATTACAATTTAATGCTAATCAGTAGATAATACTCACCCACTCGTTTCCTTTCATGTTCTAACAAAACATAGTCATGCCAGTCAATTTTCTGTAATAATAAAAATACAATTTCATAAAAAATACTATTATTTACACTAACTCACCAACCAACACCATCACCATACAATGGAATAATATTGCCAACAAATAGAAAATAGTAAAATTTCTATTTTTTTATGAATATAATTTTGATAAAACCCAAAGAAGTAGGCAGAATCGCATCAGATGCGAAACATGACACCAACCTTTCGTCAGGTTTAGTATGATTCCCTTGAAACAGGGTGCATGAAAGTGATAATTGGCCAATTCAGGAATCAAAGAGCTTTGACCTTTGTCTAGGCAGTGCCAGCCAGACTTATGGTATATTAGTAAAAAAAATGTTAAATAATGTTACCCCATTAGCAACTTGATCCGCTGATATCATATACATATGTACACAATGTCTAAGATCATTAATATTTAGAAGCTAGACCTGTTGTTTAGGGTCAATTAACTCTAGTGGAGGACATGAACACATATCATTGGAGGTAATTTATGGAATTACTCCTAATAAAAATTTACTAAAGATGTTTCCAACGCCGTTGGCTGTTTTTATTAACAATAAAATTAATAGGATGAAAATGCAACAATCTAAAAAAAAAATTCAACATATTTATAGATTCCAAAACCAACTGAGATTTTTATTTATTTAATCAATATAAGAATTAAATATTTTTTGAACTCACATTTAAACTGGCTGGTACAAAAAGGTCTTTATCCTTTTGGAACCTCAGCGGTGCGCGGATCACTTCAAGAGCTTGATTTGAAAATTGGTTGCCAGCATCTAGGTTGTTCAGTAATTTTACTATATACAGCAGTAGAGCTATCAGTGTTAGCATTAGAAGATTGCGGACCCTGAGAAGGCGTAATATTTGACGCCTAGAGATAGCCATTGTGCTGAAACAAAAATAAATTGTTCACACTATATTTCTATGATTTTTTTTTAATTTTCCAGCAAATACAGGATACCAGTCAGTGGTCGAAATGTACATTTATTTTTAAGATGAATTACAAGACAAATAATAATACATTTGAAGCCATTAATCTATTAATGACAATTACTAAACATAACATATTATATTTTCAAATGAATACTACAAACACTGACCATATTTATATATTTTGAATTTTTAATAGGGCGCTAGGGTTTTCGATTGCCCATTTATCTGATAACAGATAAGAAATAACATTATGATAATATTATAATATTCTATTGTGCCGGTTTCGATAATATTTATTTCTCAGTAGTTAAGTTACATTATAGAGTATTATTTCTAACGATTTATCTATTATCCATAAAAGTAAATAAACAGTATTGAAGATTATGTTAGTGTTTTAAGTGTTGTTATGTTTTATTTATTGACAGTCATAAAACACACTTACTTACACAATATATCTTCCACACGTTTACGTGAATACTATCGTTTCACGAGAATAAACCAATAAAATTACAAAAGATGTTTTGATACATCACCATGAAAGAAAAACAAGATTTTCATTAAGACACGAACGCACGGCCGAACAAAATACAAAAACTGAACTGCCCGGTGCTAGCACACACTACTAATGTAAAAAGTTAGGAGTAAATTATCTTATCTACCTCATCTCTTCTTGTCACTACAGCGCTATAACACGAATGAGCGAGAGAGATGCCCTAGGAAGTGACATTTTAGAATCAACTATTCTAATTTAGTCGGGTTATAAAATCATTTTTTAATCATTTGTGAAAAACAAAGGCATACAAATATTCAGTCTAATTTTTTTTTCATCCATTAAAATTGTTTTACTACTAATAATTTCAATAAAAAATGCATAATTAATTTACCTTTTGTATTTTTTTTTATTAATTTATTAAATTTTATCTAATAAGAATATGTTATAATAAAATTGAACGCTTCGGAAAATTCTCGATCGCTACCTTGACAACTGTTTGTTTTTGATTGGCTGAAAATTTTCAGGAAAATCAAATTCCTTTCTTAAGGGAATTTATTTGATTTCTGTGCGTCGGATAAATCGTAAGATATAAGTCAAAAGTGAATTAAATGCATTTCAAGGTAATTACTATTATGACTTATTTCAATTTAACTCAAATGTTCCTAATGGATTTTGGTCGCCCTATATTGAGGATTTCCGTTATCCGGCTCCACCGAATGACCGAACACACTTGTATCCGAACGCTACATAAATTCGTACATATTTTTAATTAAATTAAGTCCGTTTCTCGTGGCGGAGTATATACTGAGCAAGTTGTTTCATTCGTGGACATTGCCGACGGTTTTTTTAGTTAGCCGACGTGTTTCATCAGAGGTACATTTTATTTTGCAGATGGCTTTATTTAGCCGTAAAGTGTACCTATTAGGTGCCTTTCTGGTGTTACTTAATGCATTGAGTGTGGTGCATGCTGATGAGCCTAAGGATAAGGATGGAGACGACGAAGCAACTGTAGAGGTTAGTTGATAGGTTACATTGATGACCTGAATATATTAATGACAATTGCTATTGAAATATGAACTGCTGACATAAACATTTCTGACCCACATTATTATCTAAAGATAAGATTGTGATCTAGGTTTAGTGCCTTATACCAATTCTTTTTTGATGTCTCCTCTCTCATACAGTTTATATCCTTACTGTTCTATAAGCACTGTTGACAGGAGTTTTGCATTCAAATGTTATATTATCTTTGTTTGACTTCTTAATAGTGGTTGCCAGATAGCCACTGTGTACCAGATAAATTAAATTATATGGTGTGAATTTGTATTCACTATATGCCACATAAGTATATCGGTAACTTAGATAAAAGAGGTGCCCTCTCTTTCTTCTCTCAGGAGTCTTTATAACAATAGTTAATGTAAACTTTGTGCCAAATCATTTTCTATAATTTGGACCAACAAATGATGCTAGCTTCAAGTCTGGTTCAAAAGATCAATATTGTTAAAAGTATAGGCTCAAATTTAATTATCCTTGAATAATTTTACGGGACTAACTCTAACTAACTCACAATAAGGGATTTGCTGTGCTCCTTGTATGTAGAAAACCGAAACAAACCATAAATAAGACAAGAAAAATATATTTACCAATATTACTTTGCAAGTATTGTTTAATGAAAAGTGCAAATCAATTAAAACCTTTAAATCTTGCTTGCAATGCAAGGTATTTGAATGCTTTGTACTTTCTATCAATCGCTATCATTTGAAAATATTTTTACATGACATGCAATTTTAATTTAATTATTGTTTTTAGACTGTAGAAGAAGAAAACCTGTACCAAAGCCCTAAAATAAGCCCAGAAAAGGTATATTTAGCTGAACACTTTGATGATGCAGCTGCATTCAAGAAGAAGTGGGTGAAGTCTGAAGCAAAGAAACAGGGTGTTGATGAGAATATTGCCAAGTATGATGGCAAATGGGAGGTGAGTCTTTTATATCATACTTTATTGTAAATATCAATACTTGTGTTATAATATATCCTCTAACCCCAATGTGCTTGTTAGCACACAGACAGCAACTTCTGTCTGTCTTCTGTCTCTCATCTTGGTCTATGTTTTTCTAAATGGAACAGATTGAATTAAAAGTTACTCCGGAGAACTAAATGAGTTTTCCAGTACACCAAATGCTGTGCACAAAGCATTGGGCATGGCCATGACACATCCCTTGAATTCCAATCTGTGATCTGTGATCTTATCGGAATCTCAACATAATATAATATAATCTTGTATAGGACAAATACAAATGCATTTACAATGTGTATGATAGAATGTAGATGTTATTGTGTCTCATAATTACACCAGTATGAAAGGTTAATGCAGTAAATGGTGAATAAAACTAATTAAAGATTACTTTTTAGTAGTCTTATAATTAACTTTTACCTAATTACCTCAATTATAGAAAAATGTCTGTTAAACATTCATATTCAAACAAAAAACGCATTCCACAATTAGATAAATGACTAACATTACCACAATAAGTGTCATTACAAATCTATTAAGTTACCTATAGATAACAGGAAAGATAAAATTCATAGAAATTATGGTTGAGAACAGTTGATATTCTGAGATGCTGTTATCTTGATTTCCTTTGCTAATTTTATTCAAACATCACCTAACTGTTTGATTTATAAATACATATGATAAAATGTAATAGTACAATAGTTTATTCACAATGTACATATTTTATGAATGACCAGGTTTTCTTAAGTTATTTAATTATTATCACATTATGTTATAATGTTTTATTGTGTTTATATTGTTGCTATGTTTATATTTTTCTTTAGAACTATAAATATAAAAGCATTCACTTCCTATAAATAATGATAAAGCTATGTTTGTCAATACAAAACAATAATTAGTAATATAAACAGTGTAGAGTCAATAAACAGATATGATTGGTTTTCTATTAATCATATTGATTTCTGCTAAACAAAAAAGATTTGTGCCCTGACAAAACATATGCTTGGTTTAAACTGTGACTAAAAAAACCTTGTTTTATAATAAACTCAATGTTGTTCTTGTACACCAGGCTGTAGCTTGTTAAACACATTAAGTAACTTAGTGATAAATTCAAAAAAACCTTTTTTGTGTTTTGTTAAAACGATATTTTATTAATATGTCGCGTTTCAGATCCAACAACCAAGCAGAAAGATCTTCAAAGATGATTTGGGTCTAGTACTGACAACAGAAGCAAAGCATGCAGCCATATCAACTCTATTGGAGCGGCCATTCGAATTCAAAGACAAACCCTTCATTGTCCAGTATGAAGTTACTATGCAGGTAAAGTTATAATATACATACATTATATGTATTTATCATTACCATAATATGCAAAAGAACATTGAATAAACCTTGACCTGAATGAAAATCATTTCAAACATGAGAACATTGTTAGTGGATACAATAGACTTTTAATAAACTCACAAAAATTACTTTGAAATAATTTATTTCCTAAATATTTTTCTGTAAGTACACTTAACACTGCTCAAGGTTCAAGAGCCAAACAATTTCAATGCTATTAAACTATCTCAAAAAATATTGAAAAGAAAAGTCTTATTGAAAGAACTCGTGAGTGACACTGCATGTGTCGAGTTTTAAACCGATTGAAATATATCTAAAAGACAAATATTTAATGATGCAAATTGTCTTATACGTATTTGTTTTACATATTGCTTAGTTATGTAGAGTAAAACTTATTCAATAGACTCACTAATTGGCTTATCGGCTTACGGTTGGAACCTATTCATATTTTCCACGTAAGTGTAACTATACCGCGCAAGACTCATACCTAAATACGCCACGTAAATGTTCATTGAATTTGTAATAAATCTCGTAAGCTAATTAGAAAGTATGAACTGTTTTTGTCATGGTATTGATTCCTTAGTTCTCTTTGCAATTTTAGGCTGAGTGTTACATAACTTACTACAAGATTTTTTTTTATTGTAATAGTATTATATCTGTTATTGAAAAACTTTGTATGTATATTGTATGTACAATACAAATATTATAAAGGAAAATACAATAAATAAACAGAGGTACTTGGCACTGCATATTCCTTTTGAATTTTTATTTGCAGTTTTGCACCATAATTCAACAGAAACACAAGAATTGGTGTGTAACATAAATATTGAATTGCTGTAATTTTAGATTATATTTTACATAAAGTTAGACAGACCAATTTAGTTCATTTTACAAGAGTTTACAGTTTACACACAAGACTAAGAGAATATCTCTTGAAATGTTCCTATTGTTTGATTTTATAATGTCTTTCCTTTGTTTTAGAGAAATAGCACACAAATAATATATCGTATATGCCGCATACAATTTAAAGTTTGTGAATCAAAAGCTTTTAAAAGACAAAAGTATTCATTTATTTACACACAAGTACAAACTTGGTACAACCGGTACATGTCCTGGACTGAATCCAAAACGGTTTTCGGAAGTTCGTTATCATTCGTTATAAATAACTTTTATTCACGTCAATAATTTTTTGTTTGTTTGCTCAAAACACTACAGATCGCATCCTACGTGATTTTTTACTGGAAAATGACTAAGTAATTTTTATTTGTTTATTTTTGTTCTTAAATACTGTCGTGGCGTGTGTTGTTGTGATTAATCATACGTTAGAATGATATTGCAAAAGTAGGTATGTCGAATGAAACGAAATTAGGTCCAGTAATATGTTTTAAGTACTTTTTAAGCTTATGACATAAACGATTTTAACAAATTATTTAGCTACTTCACTTTATATTTCCTATGACCTGAAGCTATTTTAGACTGGGGATCATAGGATTCCATGGAGAAGACTATAATAGATACTGAATGCATACTGTTGGCTCCATTGGCATCAAACTTTTTTCTATGTGTACTTCTTAGCAAAATAATAGCAAAATTAAAACAAGCACTACCTAATGCTTTATTAAAATATAACATTAAATTGCAGGAGGGTCAAAACTGCGGTGGTGCATACATCAAGCTCTTATCGCGTGGAACGAACACCAAAGCAGATCTCCGCAAGTTCTACGACCAGACACCTTACACAATCATGTTTGGACCAGACAAGTGCGGCAACGACAACAAACTGCACTTCATCTTCAGACATAAGAACCCCAAAACCGGTGTTTTTGAAGAGAAGCACAGCAAGAAGCCAACGTGAGTATTTTAGAAAGAAATAGAATCTCGAGTTTGAAAGTCATATTTTTTTTTGTTTTTCAAATTCTTATCTTCATAAAGTCTTGAATAAAGTTTTATGATTGGTTGGTTCCTTTGCTTCTGAATGGCTCTAAAATTAGCTATACTTCAATGTTAAGTTCTATTGTAAATTTAAATTGCACATCTAACATACTGTCATAAGCAAAATAACCATTGTAAATCACAAAGGCGTAATATTATATTCCATACGGGAAATAACAACGCAGCCGATTCCTCAACACGGACAATAAATGATCACTATGTAGCTTAGAACAATGTTGATTCTTCTGTCCCTACTATGCAACGGATTCTACGCAACAGATTTTGCGGCGGGTTGCGAGTGTTACATAAAACTTCATATATACATAATACATAAAATACTTTAATACAATCTCTTTTATTACAGTCAACGTCTGGACGAAATTTACAAGGACAAGGAACCTCATCTGTACACGCTGATCGTCCGTCCAGATAATTCGTTCAGCATTCTCATTGACAACAAGGAGGTGAACTCTGGATCTCTACTTGAAGACTTTACGCCACCCGTCAACCCGCCAGAAGAGATTAACGACCCTGATGATAGGAAACCGGAGGATTGGGATGAGAGGGAAAAGGTTGGTGGAGTTTTAATTTTCTATGTTTTCTATGAACATTTACCATATCTCAAAATTTTATATTTCTTATTGAGAATGCTTGAACTGAGTTTGAGAATTTTTACTTGAAGTAATATTTTGGCTATCAGTAGGTAATTTGAATTCAAAATAGATAGGTAAAATATATCCAAGGCATTAAAATGTTTCTAAGTTATAAGAAATCATAATTATCACTTAAAAATTAATGTTTTTCATGCTGCATAACTGTATTAACATTTCATTTAATCGTCTAACAAGAGTTACTTTACTTTTTTAATATTGACATCACTCAATAACTAAAAGGACATTATATATAATACACTGCATACAATTATATGTATAAATGATATTTTATAATGAGTGGCCTTATCGCGCAGTTCGATCTCGTCAATGCAACCATAGGTTGGACAATGAACTTTATGTACATATATTTAGACCATAAAACAAAGAACAAAGAGAAGCATTGAACTTTTAGTGCAATACTCTATTTCTGAACATATTCAGTGTAAATTGTTTGCGAAATACGAGTTGGCAATGTGCCAACAAAAGGTGTTGAGAGCTTTGCTAGTAAATACTTGTTGGAAACAATGTCACTAGGCCAGTGGATGACTTTTAAGGGATGATATCATTTATTTTAGAACATGGCTTTATTTATTCAGTAAAATAAAAATATACGTCTTTTTAAAATTAATTTTGAATTTCGAAATTTTATTTTGTTTTAGATTGTTGACCCCACTGCAAAGAAGCCAGAGGATTGGGACGAAGATGCGCCGGCGCAGATCACTGACCCCAACGCTGTCAAACCTGACGGCTGGCTTGACAACGAGCCTGAGATGATTCCTGGTGAGTATTAAACAAAGAAGTTTTTGTTGCAAAAGAGTATTTGTGAAAAACCTTTCTTATCACCTGTCTTTTACTAAATTTGAATTAGAATAGATTCCTATAAAAATATGGACCATCAAAAATAATGTATGTCAATAATATCTGCATAAAATAATCATATATACATTCCATTCTACTATATTTGGAAATTCATGATGGGCACTTTTTTAAATAATCTTACTCATAATTTTGATATGTATTTATGATATAAAATGTATAGAGTAACAGAAAATTTTTCAATAAGTACATTTTTTATTTTTTTATTTCAGACCCTGATGCTAAGAAACCTGAGGATTGGGATGAAGAGATGGATGGTGAATGGGAGGCTCCTCTCATTGACAACCCAGTGTGCGCCTCTGCTCCAGGATGCGGCAAATGGAAACCTCCAACCATCCCCAACCCCAACTACAAGGTAATTCTTACATACATACTTAACACGTTAAACGCCATTGGGGTCACCGGTGACCTCCGTTAGCGGAGTATTTGCCTTCAACTGTTTTCTGTCGGCAGTCAAAGGCTTAATTTTATTTTGTAGGGATAGTTTGATGTCTGAAAACATTCGATTTAACGTAGATAATAGGTTAGGTCGGCAAACGCGCTATCTTATTACCTAATGGTAAGCAATCGGCGCCGCCGATAGACACACGGAACACCGTTGCTGGCCTTATAGGGATTGGGGAGGAATGGGAGGGAAATGCTTAGGTCTCCGGTAACCTCAACCGTACAGAGAAACACAACTGTTGTTTCACGCTGATTTTCTGTGAGGTCTCCGGTTGACCCATTAGTGCCAAAACTTGTCCATACATTCAAGTAACAGTTTTAGAATTACTGTTCTTAATATCCATTGGAAGTGTAAGTTTCAATATAATTTGGAACTCTATAACAGTGTAACTGGAGTTGATTATGTAATGTTACAGGGCATCTGGCGCGCGCCTCTGATCACAAACCCCAACTACAAAGGCAAGTGGACTCCGCGTCGCATTCCCAACCCGGATTACTTTAGGGACGAAACGCCATTCCGTATGACGCCTATTGTGAGTATAAAATTTCTTGTAACTTTAAACAGGCAAAATAGTTCTAATGCATCATCATAACTGCATCACCCAAGGCTCGACTGGTAGAAAATGCCTTAGGCATTAAGTCCGCCTACGTACACATTGTGCATGAAGTTTAAATAAATCTTACTAATATTATATACCTAAATGCGAAAGTTACAATGTTTGGAGGTTTGGATGTTTGTTACTTAATCACGCCAAAACGGCCGGACAGGTCTCGATGAAATTTGGCACAGGCATAGGATACACTCCGGAATAGGACATAGGCTACTTTTTATCAATATACTATGCCTTAAGATTTGTTGTAATGACTTTTTTTCTTAACAATCAGCATGCCGTCGGCTTCGAGTTGTGGTCGATGTCTCCAATGCTTCTGTTCGACAATCTGATCATCACGGACGACCTTGCCGTTGCCGAAGAATGGGCTCAGACTACCTTCGCTCTTAAACGTGCCAAGATCTCCAGAGATTCGGTAAGTGCAATTACATTTCCTTATTTTTCGAATTAGGTGTCCATATAGGTACAATTTATTTTATGTGATATATATAGATTTCTTTTTTTTTTCTTGAAATTGAGTGCTGGTGACATTGCATAAAAAAACTATAAAAGGTTGTATGAAAAATCTGTTGTTTAGATAAATCAATCAATGATTTTAATACAATTTTACCACAATCTTCGTAGCTATAGTTGTTTTGTCTAACACTGTTTTCTATAGTAATTTTTGTGTCTGGGAACTGGTCAATGGCAATGAACAATATTAACATATAATAAACCAGACATTTGGTAAAAAATTGTATACATCATGTATAAAAAGCTATTGTAATTTAATTTCTTATTATATTACAATATTCTTAATGTACCAGCAAACACTATGGGGTCGCATGTTGCGCGCGATGAACTACAAGCCGGGTTGGTGGGCTCTGTACGCAGTGTATGTCGCTATACCTATCGTGGCGTACATCGTCTGTCTCGTGCGACGGGCCAAAGAGGTCTCTTATATAACTAAAACTTTTGATTATGTACCAAAGCTAGGCTTGAAGAAGAGTATTTAAGTATAAGCTCGAATGTGTGATTTTAATGAACATTTTACTTATACGAACAATCATCAAGTAACGTTAAAAGTTGCTCTAGGTTGTTAAGATATGAATAAGTATAATATTTGCTTGGTAGAAATAGTATTAACAGGTCCACACTAGATTCTTTGACTTCTTCTTGTTTTGATCTGCTCAACTATGTAACATAATATGTTACTCCAACAAATATATTGTTTATATTATCAACGATATATTTGTTGGAGTACCTGCATGGTGTCAAAAAGAGACATAATATATTAATAATCAACACTCATAATTATTTGTATACCAGTACCAAAATTCCACAGCTAATTAAAACTTGGTGAGGTGCCTATTTGCTGTCTCTGGACATGTTTATGAACTCTAACCAAAATAACGTATAGCTAGTATGGTATCGTGGTACATTACTTCCAGAGTTCACTTGGTCACGCCCCAAACATCACGAAGCACATTATGTACCACTTAGAACACGTGTGACGTAGGCTAAACGTAGTTTGCTAGTTTGTATCACAGCTAATATCCACAGGACTCTGTATTCGACCGCGCGATGAGATTCGCTGGTGACAACCCCTGGGTGTATGCCTTGCTCATTGTAGTCACCTTCTTGGTCGTCGGATTAATCGCCTACGCCTGCTTCGGATCCAAGTCGGTAAGTAACAAGATCTTAAAGAAAGTTAAAGAGGACTTGGTAAATTCAAACAATGTCAGTACCATATAAATCTCTGTCAAGACATTATCAAACACGTTAGGTATTTTATTCAGTCACCAACACAACCAACTCGTTTCTTTTACTCTTAGATTTGTCGATTCGAAGTCGATTATTTACCGAAAATGCAGCCCTTCGAAACGAAACAAAAAGAGTTTCATTTTCGTACAAAGTACGGTTCCACAATCTACGTTTTATAAAGTGTTTCTAAATTAATTATACGATACAGTAACAGTTCGCGTACATAAAAACTATATAGACTTTAACAATAATCTTTAGTAAAAAAACATATTTCATTCACAATTTTAATACAGGATTCTGATGCTGACATGAAAAAGACGGACGCCGTGGCAGAGGATGATCCTCACTTGTCGGAAGCTGAGGAGGAACTTAGGGAGGAAGCTGAAAGGCCTAGTAAAGCCGACCTTGAGGGCCCAGAAGTTGATAATGATGCTGAAGTTGTTACTTCTACTGAAGACGTAAGTTATGACTGACTGGTTTTATGATAATGTGAAGAGATTTTTATTGTAACATTTTACTTATGGCACCTATTTGCAAACACAAACACAACCAATTCGTTTCTTTTACTCTTAAATTTGTCGATTCCAATTTAAAATGTTCAGTAATACCGAAATCTTTGCGAGTTGTGTGTATAATGTGTAGGAATTATAAGTTTTTTAAACAATAATTTATTATACATAATTTTGTTGTTTCAGACTACTCCATTAGTTGACACAGAGGGCGCTGGTGACGGCCAAAGGAAACGTAAGCCCCGTCGGGAGTAAATGTGTCGTGGCAGATGTATAGTTTTACGTGTGTGAGTGAGCTGTCATAGTGTTTGTAGCGAGCGGTTGTTGTCTACTAGTTCGTAGACGTCACAGGCTAGTGACTACACTTCCAATGTTGAGCCTGAGACTGTAGCAAAAAAAAACTTCAACTTCAGTACCATAAATCTTTACTAAAACAAACAACCAAAGAGTTGTGAAGACCAAAGCTAGATTGTAAAATTAACAAGCACATCAAAAATAAAGCATTATACTATAACAATATTTTGCTTATGAACAAAACATTAAAAATTTACATGTGTCATTATTTATAATTGAACAAATTTCCGTGTCATAATACAAGGTACTTATGTAATAACTCCCGGAGTCCCAGCTCAACATTAAAGTGCATATCTGCCTTCTATATAAACCTTCTATGTAGTTAAGCTATGTTTAGTCTAATATATTATAGAAAATTATATTCTCGTCTATCTATCGTCGCCCGTAATACTTGTATTTCGCGGTTTCCTTGTATTTAAGGAATAAATAACTTGATATTTATACTTATCATAGTATATTAATGTTCTGCTATTTTAATACAATACAGAATTCAAAGGTATTATAATTATATTTAGACAAATTGTAGCAATAATTTATAATATATGAGGAAAATATGGGTAAAGGTAAACATTTCGATGACCAAATGTATTTATTTTGTGGTAAATTAATAATTCTTATTATTGCCTTCTTGTTTTCAATTTTAAAAGCACTTTATAACTTATTTTCTGCACTGCCAAAGAGCTTCAGTCGCCATTTATTTTAACTTGTGACCAATATAGTGAACAAATGTTAAGGAGAGGAGTTATGTTTTTTACAATTTACGAGTGGTATTCAGGTATTGGCGACGCAAGTCACGTTGTAACCCGGATCCTGTTACCAACTGTCTGAACATATAAACTTATCTGGCACTGTGTGCTCAAGATTTTGTTATGAATTTCGTTCGTAAATATTATAAATAATGCAATTTACTTGTTGAAGATGATAATATAATGTGGAATAAGTAGTTTAATTTTTATAATATTCTCAGGTCCGTATGGAAGCGTTTATATGTATATAATTTGTCCGCTTGTATTAATGTTAGGCGCTGATTCTAAACAATTTAGTGCGATAATTCCTTTATGCATTTTACTAATGTACATTTAGATAGAAAAAACTTGCTGGTTCTCTAGTATTGACTTCATAATATTTGTAATATACATAAATGAATGTTTTACTTCACAAATTGTAATTGGGTCGTGCTCATAGTAAAGTAAATTTTATGTTGTTTGCTATTCGCTCACTTATGAGACAGCGTGCTGGCACCGACGAGAACAATACAGCATTAAAGAATATAACATATTTGTGACTCTAATTTATCACGATACACGAACATTAGCACATAATTTTTATTGTCATATTTAAGATACAAATACAAATAAAATAGATAAAATGATAATAATATTTGAAATGTATATCGAGCACGATCTAAAATGCTGGGTTCACAGCAGAAAAAATACTAGTATTGTCTTTGGTAAGCAACATTAACATTTTTACTTTTAAATAATTCCATGCTGTGAGCCTGGCCTGCATTTTCGCTTAGCTACCGACGGTTGTTTAGGGCAGCTGTATTATAAATAAAACACGTCTCGAAGCTATTCTCCTAAGTACGATGTGTGATACGTGGAGTTAATGGACTGTAATTTATATGGATAATAAACAATAATTTTTACTCATTGTTTTATTCACTAAAATATTTCAATAGAATGCTCTCTAGCTACAGCATAATTTGTCAACCTATGCTTATCGAGAATAGGTCTGAAACACGATCAAAGACTTTGTTTTGCCGTGTGAGTGTAGTTAACAGAGGCCCAATACTTCCCCTCCCCCAATCCCTATACCTATAAAACCCTATTCCCCAATAGGTCGGCTACCTACCTACTCACATCTCTAGTGATGCGTGAGTCCATGGGTGGCGCCGATTAGTTATCATCAAGCAATCTGCTTGCACGATAGCCGTACCTATCACATAAAAAAATCACGATCGGTGCCAAATGGATGAAGTTTACAATCGGTCCAGTTTTTTCGAATTAGCTTTTGCAAGTGGTTTCGCTCTATCCCGCAGGATAAATTGCCATGTCCAGACGAAAATCACCTCGATTTGTATTGTTATACGATATGTTTGTATGTACGAAATATTGTTTTATCTGCTAATTAGTTAGAGTTCCTAATAAAAAACATGCGTATTTGCATGTATTTTATTTACTTTCACACTACAATACTAGAAGAATTTACGCACGCAGTTTAAAGAGTAGATAATATGAAAGTTTGTAAGTCTTTTATATTACATGACTTCGAAAAAGAAACAACTGATTCTCGCCTGCCCGCCCAATTTTTTGCTTCATCCTTGAAGTGAACACATAACGCAACTAATCCAACGGTTAGTGAAAGCTTAAGTTACAAAAATTTACTACCTACATAAAGTCAAACGACCATTATCTTGGTGACCTAAAGTACTAAATTCTAGGATGTAGTCCAGTGACCACACGCAGCGTGCGTAGATAGCCTAGTTTGGTTCAAAGTATTCATTGTACCGAGCTACCGGCATTCGTAATCGGGAGAGCGTCGCATCATGTTGTTATTAACTTTGTGGTCAGTGTTGTGCGTTGCGTCGGTTCAAGCCAGACCGAATATTGTGATCTTCCTTGCTGATGACTTGGTAAATATTATGTTTAATTCAATATCAAGTATTTATTTAGTGTTTGAAATTAAGTTTATTTCACGATTTGGTTATTTTTGACCTCAGTAATAAGTATACCTAATAGACGGGGTCTTTGAACACAATAGAAAAATGTAAAAAGCCAAATAATTAATAGAATGCATTTCTAAATTATTCAAATAACATCTTTTATTGGACATCAAATAACAGTTTCGCCCTACCTACATCATCAATTAAAAATTATTTAAAAAAATATTTTTGTTTTTACTCCCGCTTATAAATTACTACCTCCAACTCGATTGTAGAATATAAATTACTAATTGTATTGCGTATACCACTTCGGATCCGTGTTTGTAAACATTGTGGATATTAAATAAATATATTTACCCCCTTATTAATCACAAATCGGCCAATGACCTTTACCACAGACACCATACGCAGATACCACAATGTATTTTTGTAACAGGTAGTCCAATATTTAAATACAAACCGGTTGAGAAGTTCTTCCATAAGTTTTATCACTATGATAATTTGAATAAAAATGAAATAGGTAGGTCTAAAGCTTGCCTACACCCAATATGGATCGAACGCCTGTAGTACCTACTTAGGTATCAACTGTAGGCGTTAGATAAATATTAGATGACCACATTTGTGAGGATATTGAAGCATGGGAAACGTTTTACTGATAAAGATGTTTATTTATGTTCATCCAATGCGATGTCCTACCTACCGTGTTAGAGTAATAAGTAGGTAGGTATGCGATGTCCTATCTAGACAGGCGCGGCTGGCACCCGGAGTTAATAAAAAAAGACATAGCCGGTATACTTACTTATAATTAAATTATTTAGGTATGCAATGGAATGCTTTCAGGGATGGAACGACGTTGGCTTCCATGGCTCGAACCAAATCCCAACACCAAACATCGACGCGCTTGCATATTCTGGCCTCGTGCTGCAGAACTACTACGTGACTCCAATATGCACGCCTTCGAGAGCTGCACTAATGACCGGAAAATATCCTATACACACAGGTGAGCTGCATTTATAAATGACTTACCTACATTTTTTCCCTACTCAACACAATGGTTCCAAAATAGGCAAATAGGTACCTATAATGAAGGATGCATTCCAGCTAGGTGACAATGAAATGAAACAAACTTTAAAACATTGGACTGTGTCAATTACTGTATCCTCAGATGCAATGACATCAGTTCTGGAATCTATCATAACCCACCCTCTGAGTCCACTTACCGTACCTACATACATTACATAAAATTGTACATATAAAAAAATAGCGTCAAGGTACCTTGGTACCTACTAAAATTCCAATTCTATTTCTAGGAATGCAACACACCGTCATTCGAGGTGAAGAACCGAGAGGTCTCCCTCTGTCAGAGAAAATACTTCCACAGTACTTGAAAGATCTAGGTTACAAAACACATTTAGTAGGAAAATGGCACTTAGGACATTACAAGAGGGAATACCTTCCTATGAGTCGAGGGTAAGTTGATATAGGTACCTACTACTACTTTTGTGATAGATGTTTCTTTCGACTTACTTTTTCCTAAGTGAGATGCGTGAGAGTGAGTTTTGACTTAAACTCTTAACTGAATAGCTATTGGAATATTTTCCATAAAGCGCCTACCATCTGCAGGCACTCCATAAACCTCTGAGATTACAGTAAGTTAGCTACCTACTACATTCTTGATTCTTTGTAAGGGCGGTTTCCTCATAATTAGAAAAAGTTATTTAGTGCGTTTTCGGCTGTCTTAAATCATAGTTGCAGTCACGAATAAAAACAATGTTATTTTTCTAGTTTTGACACACACCTAGGATTTTGGACCGGAAAAATTGATTTATATGATCACACAAATATGGAAACTGGCACTTGGGGCTTCGATTTCAGAAGAGGTAATTTACGAAGTCTATTCTTATTTCACTTTTTTTATTATATTAGTTTTAAACAGTTAAATGGAATACTTACTTATAGATACCTACCTAATAATCGGTAGAGATAAAACGTCTTTTACTTAAGTTATCATTTCGTATTTACATAAAATACATAGGTATACCTACCTACTTAAGTCTATAGTACCTAAAAGCTATCTAAACTTCGCACGCCGTTGTCGTTGACACCAGACAAGGCTACTTCCCTATGACATAATTTGAATAATTGTTTATTTTTAGAAACTGCAAAAAATTACATGTATCAGGACATGACGATATAAGTAAACCTACACGAGCACCTTAGTAGGTACCTCGTTTTGACTTTGACGATTTTTTGTACAGGTTATGAGGTGGCGTACGACCTCTTCGGAAAATATGCGACAGATATTTACACAAATGAAGCAGTCAAGGTAACATCATGTTATATTGTTACTAGTACTTATATTTATCTAGGAAAGCACCTCGACATTGACCATTGCCTACCTATGAGATCGAGAATAATAAACGTAAAGTAGGTAGGTACCTACACAGAAAATTCATACAATTTATTCCAAATAGTTAGGACCGGTCAGATAACTGTTTTATTTTGGTGATAAAAACTTCTTCCTACTTAAGTATTTTTCATGTACCTACAAAACAAAAGCTATGTGTTACAAACGTAACACATGTGAAGTCGGTACTGACGCACAAACCTGCTTCATTTATAACTACCCTAATTAATTTTTACTTGTATCGGGCCATTCGAATTGGTCGAATTTATTACCAAAACTCACTAGCATACTACCAAACAAAGTCCATTGTTATTTATTTCAGCTTGTTGAGGCCCATAATAAAAGTGAGCCTCTGTTCTTGATGGTAGCACACTCAGCGATGCACAGTGGAAACCCCTCGGAGTTTTTGAGAGCGCCAGACGAAGTTATTGACAAATTCTCACACATAAAAGATACACAGAGGCGCAAATATGCAGGTCATATTTCAAAATCTGTCTGTTTTTTTTTATAAACTCTTGTGTTTTGTAGATTCACTGACCTAACGACCTTAAAAATGTATTGGCTTGTTAAAAACCCTTGATAACGAAGTGCAACGTACCAATGGTGTCGATATCAAAACTGCTAAGTGCATTTTAACTTTTGCTATTTATAAGTATGACTTTTCCTAAAAGCGTAACTATAAATAAATCATACCATATCATTACCTACCACTAATCAATGTATTGTTTAAAAAATAAAATATGTATTTGAAAAATAGTTTAAAAGATCTGCTTTTCCACAGGAATGCTTACCAAACTCGATGTATCTGTCGGCAAAGTGGTAATGTCATTGAGGAAAGAAGGATTATTAGAGAACACGATAATTCTGTTCAGCACTGACAATGGCGGGCCAGCTGCAGGTTTTAACAACAATGCCGCTTCTAACTACCCTTTGAAAGGAGTGCGTTAAGTATATTTATAATGAAAAACTAATATTATTTTGTACAGATTACATTACAAGATTGACGGGGATACGGAACCCATTATACCCATAGATGGATACCTTTTGAGCGCCATAAGCAAGCATCTCCTAGGTAACACTATGAGATCCGCCTGCGCCTATGCACGCACGCGTGTCCAATGGCGCCCCTCAACAGCCTGGCGCCCTGGGCACCTAGTTTACATAAGGGATAATGTCTGGATAATTTCCGCCTTTAAATTTTTCTATCATAACTTCGTCATAGCTTGGATTCTGCTGATATGTAAAGAGTGTTTAATACCCGTCATAAAGCCCGTTTGTTCATAGGAATATTAATATTATACTGTGATACAATATTAAAAGAGAGTAATCGGTTCAGAGGACTACTTTATTGTCGTTGTCAGGTTTCTTCGGTTTTTGAGTACCTAGTCGAATATGGTTTAATGTAAATACCAGATAACAATCTTATAGCCAGTGCCTTGATTCTAGAACTAGTTAGGGTAAAGCAGAGGAAATTAAACGCAAAGTAATGCTTCATGGTTAAAAGAAAAAGAATCTTCATAAACTGACTATCTAACTTACCCTCTTTAGGTGAAAAATACTCTCTGGGAAGGCGGTGTACGTGGTGCGGCTCTGTTATGGAGTCCTCTTATAAAACAACCTTCACGAGTCGCGAATCAAACGCTCCATATTGCTGATTGGTTACCTACTCTGTATAGTGCTGCAGGAGGTGAAACAAGGTTACTAAATAGCATATTTCTAATCCAGGAATCTCTCCTGCGAAAAAATCAATATCATGTGGGTGTGTGGAAGCGAAAGGAAAGCTAAATAAATATTTGCCATCATCATTCCAGTGTTTTTAAAAATCTCGACGGATTCGACTTATGGGAAGCACTATCCAATGACCTACCATCTCACAGGACCAAAATAGTACATAACATAGATGACATTTTCGGATCAGCATCCATTACTGTGGACAATTGGAAATTGCATAAAGGTAAAATTTAATAGCTCTGAGAAAATCGCCTGATACCAAAAAATACGACAAAAAAAATATAATTTTGGTTGGATATTCAGGCACAAACTACAACGGCACAAAGGACTACTGGTACGGACCTGCTGGTCGGGACGGCGAATATTCCTTTGACTTGCTGTACAAAAGCGACGCAGCTGTAGCTATCAACAACATTACTGCATTGCCAAATAAAGAAAGAATTACGAGTATTAGGTAAGTAGGTATATCCACTGTATTATTTTATCTGCTCTAATAAAATGGTATCATTCTTTACATATAAGTACATATATACATCAACACGTCATAGTGACCCCAAAATTTATTCGCCTTTTCACCAGTGAACATCATATCCATCCACTTTTAAGTTTCCTCTCTTCTTATTGCGAAATAACGGAATCAATGTTACAAGTATTTCCTTATTTCATATTGGGACTATTTACATTTTCAGAGACGCATCAACTATAAAATGCAATAACGGTAAACCAATCAACGAATGCAAGCCGCTTAAAGCACCGTGCCTATTTGATATAGACGAAGATCCTTGTGAGCTTAAAAATTTAGCTGACGAGTAAGTAAAATAGATACATGGATATCGAAAGTAAAATCACTCAAAATAATTGAACTCGATTAGCTCGATAAAGTCTAAACTACCGCTTAATTCAGTTTCGAAGTTGGTGCTTGCTGCGTCGCGCGTCACGCCATTTGTGTAAATACCGTATCAGAAGTGCGGACACTGACTCCAAAAATGAATTGATCGAATTAATTATTTAAAGAAGTTTCCAAATTAGCCGAAAATGCTTGAGATATGCGATAGCAAGTAGCAGTCAGATTTAGAATTCCTCCTTTTTTTGAAGTTGGTCGAAAAATTTGACCAATTTGTCAGCAAAATAACCGCGACCATTGGGCCTATTGCCTATATGATGTGTAACTTGCCTGAATACATGAAATCAACAAGGTTATTCGCTTTCACAGGAAGCCTGATATTCTTCAAGCATTACTATCGGAATTGGAGAGGGTGAATGCGACAGCAGTGCCGCCCAATAATCAAGATTTAAATCCCCGAGGTGACCCAAAGTACTGGGGACGTGTATTTACAAATTTTGGTGATTATATACACTTAGAAACTCCTGTTTAATTCAGGGCACGTGCCCTATATCATTTAATGACAGAGCTGGCATTTCCTTGTTTGAAGCGAAAAGGAATACCTAATACTCAGAGGTGGATTTAAATTGGTGAGCGCCCTGGGCAAGCACCGAATAGGCACTCCTGTAACTTGTAACTTTAGCTTTAGGATCTGTGTCAAAACCCGAGTCAGTGATTTTTAAAGTTGTTTTTATGTAATTACCGTAAGTACAATATAATTATAATTATTCCTAATACTTACTTACCTTAGCTGAGTATTAGGTACTTACATTCTAAATCCCGAATAAAAGATTTGCATATCTTTAGTATGAATACCTAAGGTTCGTTAATTCGTTACAGAATCTAGGCAACAACGTTGTACCGAAAAACATGCGCTGTGGTCTTTTAAAAAAGGTCACTTTGTAGGCAATGTTAGCAAATTTTCAAAGAATTAAGAAAATAGTATTTATGTTTATATAACTATACAAATAGCGTAATTGTTTTAATGTGACGAATTAAGAATTAAGGTTTTTTAACTTCATTACGTTGACAATAATGAAATTATTTCAATCGAATAGTGTATCAACTGTAAAAATAGGATTAGTATAATGTACGTATAAGTTAGTGCAATGTTTTATTTAAGACATCCAAAAGTACAATTAAATGTAATTAAATTTTCACCAAACTGAAATGTACCATACAAATATTATAATTTGAAACAATCCAAACTTATCATAAAGTGTGAATAATTAACAATTAAATTTTATAAAAAATAAATTAATCGTGAGAAGCTCTAGCCCTTTTAGTACGGACTCCCGACTTTTTAGACGTATCCAACTTCCTTTTACCCGTTCTTTTACCCAAGTCTTCCACATTGACAGGATTATGACTACCACTTAAAGGTAACCCTTCTTCGTTATCCACGTCACGCATTATTGCATTCCTATATTCTTTTAAAGTCTCGTCTTCGACAATCTGTATTTGTTCTGGTTCTATAATCCTACCAAGTGTGGTAGCATTCTGTAAGTTTACCTTTTCCATAGGACTAAGGACCTCTCCTATTGGGTCGGGTTGGCTGCTCTGAGATAAAGTTTCGGCAATCAACCTGTCTACCAAGTCTGTCTCTTCTTGTTGGAAGAATTTGCTCATAACCGACTTTAATTGGTCCGGGATTATTTCGCACGGTGAAATGAGACTGGAATTTATAAAGAACTTTTATAGATCGACATTATAATATGAACTAATGAAAGTTTTATTAAAAAAAAAAAAAAAGTTTTATAACGAATTGAACTGAATTTAGAAGTGACTTAAGTACTGCATAAATATGATATAAATAGATATAAAAAAGGAAAATTACTGAGAGGTGATTACAATTGATTCGTTAGTCAAGAACATAATTTTCCGTAAAGGTACGAGTAACTCTACAATACTCACTCAGACTCAGATCCCTGATTAATAATACCATGTGAATGTAACAGCTTCATTAGTTTGGACGCGTTCACGGGTGACAGCGCGAACTTGTCGGCTAGATCCTGCGCTCCTATGGTGGCCACGTGGCAACACCATTCAATTGTACGTCGGAATATGCAGAGGCACTGTGAAAAACGATTTAAAATTCTTTTAACTATTGAAGCTAACTATGAGGAACAAGGAACTACCTACATATTTAACAGAAAGCAGGCAGCGACGCAATCAGTAATAGCATGGTTGTTTTAAATCATTTTCTTGCTTCGGGCAGAATGCTACAGTACCGTTTTGAATAATCTTATTTCTCAAACGAAAAACTGCAAAACTATTTAGAAGAAACGATACTTACTTCTCGCTTCTTGATGGTGAGGGTTGCCAGTCGCTGGTCAGTGGGCTGCCTACTAGGATCCATATCAGAACATTCAGTGCAACAATGGCGTTGTACTTTACACGCATTCTCACGTGTAAGGCCAAAACATGCTGCATGTTGTTGCGTGTTGCAGTACCTTTGGGAAAATTAGACAGAGGGTATATGAGAGGATATGGTAGAGAGCCGGGTATGTATACGGACAGCGAACAAGGGTAGGTCGCAGCCAGATCAGAACCAGACCCGAGGGTAGCGTTCCGCGCGCGGCTCAAAGAGCCATATTAGACCACCACAGACATGGCCCAACAGGGCTGATGTTCAGCCAGGGTTATAGACTTATTGCAGGAGAAATAACGGGGTGGTTTCTAAACATTAAGAGTCTGACACTCCTCGGGCAAGAGAATTCATTTGATAAAAGGCATCCTCTTATATTGACCGAGTCCAAGTTGAACACATGGATAAAAAATAAAAAAATATTTAATAAAAATAATGAGTCTAAGCAAGGAGGTACTCACTGGCAAGTAAGTATGGCATGGTTCGTTTCATCAAGATCGTGTTTATTACACGGACACTGAACTCGCACCTCACTCGAGTCCGAAACACTCTTCATAGCAGAACCTATGGTATAAAATAATAATAATTCAGACTAAAAAATATATTCAATAGTATTATGGGTGGACTCAGCCATAATTACGAATTTGTGTAATCTTCTTCAGTCAAATGGGTGGAGGTTTTGTAAATAGGCCATAAAACAGCACTTTTACACGTCAAAAGTATATTATGTAAAAAAAAACTAGATGAAGCCGGCATTTCCTATCTGACTACTCTGAGAAGAAATGCCGAAACAAACTCAGAGGTACATTACAGGTACCTACTCTTTTCAAATAACAATTAGGTTAGATATTGATAGTGCTTTTAATAAGATAATAAATATATGCAGGTCAGTGTCCGTCCTAAATATTTTATGTTCATATTACCTACACAAAAATAATATTGGTCCCAAATCAGCCTTTTTCTTATCTTATTATAGTACTTATAAGTTTCGATACTTACTGCTCTCAAAGTCGTCTTGGTCAATTTGAGTCATCTTAGGTGGATTCTGTGATGGCTGAAATATTAAAAAAAACTTAAAGTACCTACTAAGTTATACATAGAAGGTATACATATGTCAATATAACTTATAGGGTCTTCAGTGTCAACAGTCCCATAATAGTCCACTGCGAGCTGGTCTATTTTAGAAGAAAGTGTATTCCAGCAATTATTTACTCTGTTCTTAAGACTCCTCCATAGGAAGAATGGTCGAGGTGATAAATACATTCCACTACCGTCATTACACGGCAGCAGAATCACAAAAAGGCGTACCTAGTTACACAACAAGCATAACAAACTAACCGAGTGAATAGGTTTTAATGAATGATGAAGCATGTACAAAAATCTAGTCAATTTGACTTTACTACTGGTATTTTTATTATAATAAGCCTCAGTATTTTTTCGTATTTAGATAATTATGTTATTTTTCATAATAAGGGCGGCAAACGAGTAGACGTTCTATTTGATGATTAGATTAGAAAATTCGTAACTCATGAAAACCCACAACATCGTAGAGCTACAAGTACTGGCTTAGAATTTTAAAGTGTGTCGGATTTACAATGGGAAAAGGCTGAAGGCGAAAAACACAACGCATGCGTTGTATTCTGTGAGGCTGTTAAACTCCGATTGAGCCGACCCATTCATTCCGAAGCATGGCTCTTCTAAAACTGTATATTTCTGAAGAAACTCACGATAGCATCATGGCTGGAGCCCATATTCTCCCTGATATAAGTGCGGGCCGTGATCCTATGAAACGGCGTCTCCACCCATCCTAGCTTCACTGTTTCTGGTAACGTCTGCTCTAAATGGTCCTGTTCCTCACCAGTGGTCAGGAAACCAGGGGCTTGGTAGCCTTCTGGTGCATCTGTGTTAGAAGCAATGGAAATGTTAGCGTTAAGAGTACGTTTGTGTGATTGTTGTTTAAGTAATCTCCTCCAAAAAGGATGTGAAATGTTGAAGATACTATAAGTCAGGGAAGGGAGGACTTGGACATGAAAAATCTCTGTTCGTCTTATATTGACCGAGTCCAAGTACCTACACACATTGAAATTGCAGAGTTTTTTTTATGGTATAAGTCGGCAAACGAGCAGACGGATTACCTGATGGTAAGCAATCGGCGCCGCCCATGGACACCCGCAACACCAAAGAAGTTACGAGTGCGTTGCCGGCCTTTAGGGGATGGGGGTTGCGGATATAAGGATTGGGAAGGGGAGGGATTGGGCCTCCGGTAACCTCACTCACACGGCGAAACACAACGCTGTGGGTTGTTTCACGCCGGTATCCTGTGAGGCCGTGGTATCACTCCGGTCGAGCCGACCCATTCGTGCCGAAGCTTGGCTCTCCCACACTTAGAGTTTAGAAACATGGAGTTAGAGTTTACAAACATAATTTTTAAGCTTGGAAATAAGCTGAACTTACCTTAGTATTAAATTGCGTGCGTTCGTGCAGCGGAATGTTGTTGAATTTAAAGATTTTAATTATGCAGATATTTAGTGTATGACGTCGTTTAATTGTGTATGGTAAAAAAAAATTTGTGCACGCAACCATTGTGGAGAAATTCACCAAAAACTGATTCCGCTGGGCGAACGTTGTCCTGGCGGAACTTTTTTTAATCCATAGACTTTAGAAGAAAAGAGATGTACCTATCCAAAAATTAGTGTGTATTTGTGTGTAATTGTGTATGTATGAATAAAACTAGTGCATGCATAAACTTCGGAGAAATTCAAGTTTCCGCTACGCGAACGTTTGGCCATTAGCTAGTTTTCATATAAAGCGCTTACATAGAGAGCTGTAGATTTTTACATACGTTGTTTTGAATTTGTTTATATTTGTTTAAAAAACAGATTTAGAAAAAATCGTAGGGTTTAAAAGATAAAAATATAAACGTAAAATACGCTTATTAGGTCTTAGTTCTTAAAGTATGCACTTTGGGGTCTAGATTTTCACGTTTATACAAACCTTGTAAGTGTCTGCAACATGTTGCAAAGTATCAATGATGTTCCGTTAGTAATTAAATAGTTATAGGACAAATTTACCATGAATAGATCACTGTTTACAAAGCAGTCAAATATCACGACTTTCTAAATGAATTGCATGGTAAAATGTATGCCAATTAGTGTACTCATTCAACTATTCACATGCAAAATTTCATGTCATTAAATTCAATAATTAAAGAAAAACAATTATAATACTGACGAAGCATAGAAAACCTACATAACCCGACCAAGTTCGGATGGCTACAAAAAAGCGGCCGTGCCATATATCTTAGAAACGTTCTTAACTTTCCAATATAGCATTTATTAAAATGGTACAGTAGAAAAGTAACAACAATTATTTGAGTCTCACCTTCATTATAATACAATCGTAGACTAACATCATACGATTCAGGCATTTCATTTTGACAAGCTTGCATGATAACCACACATGCCCTGATCAAGTGAACAGTTCTTTCTCTTACATTATCGAAGGAATATCTCGTGGAAGTTTTAGCACTGTCCCGAGTTTTAGAGTGCACATTCATGGTCACCCCATCTGGATTGTATAGATATTCAAATATATGGTATTCTACTAAATTCTCCGCTTTGCATTCTCCGTCGTAAAAACATAGGACTAGTTGATGTAACTGAAAATGCAATTTTAATTATTCACTGTCGTTACTAGTAGGTATCTATATATTACCTGTACTATTTCTAGCAAAGTGAACACGTAGGTAGTATGGCCATCTTATATAATACTTTTACTAGAACTTTTGAGAGATGCCTCGCATTTCTCTCACAAGATTTGTTTACTTAATGGCTTAATTAAAAAAGATCTCCCTCCAAAATCGAGATAACGACCTAAGAGAGAAAGTTTAGGTCATTGATATTTATTTTACTCCTAGTGCGACAAATCAACTTACGTATTTCTTATCGAACGCTTCAAAGGCTTGTGTGAGTGCCGTACTCACGAACTGAGCCAATTCATGCCTACATTTCTTCTTCAAAACTCGTAACTTAATACCCCCAAAACTCTCAACCTTATAGCTTTCTTCAGGAAAAACATTCTTCAAATACGTTATAGTACTTATAGCAACTACAGTCAGTTGTTTCATAAATGTTACCGAACTCGTGTACGTTTCTGTCGCCTGACGCGGAAATAATTTCACCCATTCTGCCACAGCCTGTATGTAAAAACAGATCATTATATTATTATGTAAATGTACTTTACGCACATTAAAAGATATCTAGTACCTAGGTGCCTTGAAATACCTACCTAAGTAAATATTACGAATAAATCCGCCCCTAAGGCTACCCACTGACCGAATTTAGATGTTAAAAGTAAAACAAAGTACTAGATACTGCTAAGTTTAGTGTTACTACGAGTAGAACCAATGACGTATAGTTTTATACATCATTGAGTAGAACGCAGGCTTCCTAGATATGGATCCGTGGATTTTTTTATACAGATACCATTGCTTTGAGCTACCTATTACCTATTCAGTCGTTAAGGAAACGAAAAACTTCAGAGGTTATAGTAACTAATATCACTAGGTACAATACTATGGATATAAATCCACAACTATCGTCAGTACCCAATGTTGTCAGTACTAAACTTATCTTATTAAATGTGATTACCTGTGACGTAAAAGAAGCAGTTGTAGACATTTTCACTAATTAAAATTTAAATAAAGTGTTCTTAACAGAAAACTTTATCGTGCTTTCGAAAAAACTTCAATAAAATATTTTAGGAGCAGACGCACATTCTCCTACTTTTTGACTTCCCGCCTAAAATATAGTTTGCAATAATTGCATCGCGCATGCGCGACAGCGCGAAACGCTCCTTCCGAGAGCCACAGATAAAAGAATATATTGTAGATCCACCTTGAGTTTTCCAAAAAGTTTCATTCATCATTTGACTGCACTCGATGTCAATTTATTCTTGTAGGTATGTAAAAAGTATGAAAGCCTACATAGAGTTTTGTGACAAAATAGTTCAATATAAAATAGTTTCTTTTTTCAAATATGGTGCAAAAGGTGGCTTTAAAAAACAAATGACGACATGACAAGCACAAATAAATAAAAACAATTTTGAATACTTTATAGTGAAAACTGCAAAGGATTTTTGATAATATAAATCGGTATGCTGTGTCCTGAAGCTTATCTAGTGCAAAACGAGACAGTTCCTAAAGAAGACGATGAAACGTGCATGAAGAAAAGTAAAAAAATACCAGCTGAAGGTACAGGAAGCTTAGAATTAAACTCTTATAAACATCCCAAAACTTGGAAGAAATCTATATCTAATTTCTTCCGCAATCAACTTCGCCCAACTAAATCCAACGACGTAAGTAGTTTTTATCATGACCTTTGTATAAAATTTTGCTTTTTATTCTATCGTATGTTATTATGTTATTTTACAGGGTGATCGGCCGTCAGGAAGTAAAGAAAATTTTGAAGATAAAGAAATGAGTCCAGAACAAAAATGGCAATCTTTAGGGAAAATATTTAGACGTCAAAGTTTTGAACACTGGAACAAGACATCAAATCAGCAAGGGGAATGTTCATCTCAGAACAAACGTATCGCTGTTAAAAAAGCGTTGTCTAGCTACTTTGGTAAAATCAAATCTACTACTGGTGGAACTAATGATAAATGAAATTATGAGCAAATAAATTTAATAAGATTTTTGTACTTTTGTTTTTATTTATACAAATTTTCGTCTCAATAGGTAGCTAGTTTAATTATTTTATAAACATGAAGGATTATAGGTGTATCTGAAGGATAAGCCATCTATCTTGCTTTATAATAACCTAACAATACTGAGTGTCTACGACTTTGCAATTCAAAAGTCCATACATGTGTACTGCTCTAAGTTCTTACGCAAAAATCAACTTCACTAAACTGACCTCAGCCTAAACAGTAATAATTTTGTGTAGAATTAATGTTTCTCGGTTTACCTTATAGCAATAGCAATTTAAATACTAATGAAGTAATGACTAATTGTTATATTTATTTTTTATTTCTATTATTGAATTACCTTTGTTCTTTTATTTTATGAAATAGGTATAAACAAATACTTTTGATAACGAATCTCAACTAAAAATATTAATTCACCGTCTTGCTCTATTTTCACTTTTTATTCAGATAAATTCCAATCACTAATTACGACACATTAGCTCACACTTGAGTTGAGGTTGAGTTGGAGACACATTTATATGGCGAAGCCATGAAGCAACTCAACACGCCACGACACAGTAATATATTTCCGGCTTTCGGGTTGAATTGATTATGGTTTAGGCAGCTATCACACAGGCATTTTGAAACCGTGAGCGTTGGCGTTTATTAAACGCGGCATAGGTGTCGATAATCTTTAGTCGCAAGCATTCGCCTTGCGATCTTGTCTCGTATCGTTAATGTCGGATAACGTAATAATAGTACTTATGGTAAACACTTCTTACAATCGGTTGCGGTCCTAACGGTTTTTTAGAATTGGTAACATTTTGTATTATGTCACATATTATGTTATTATGCGGGCAACACCAATTAAAAAGTTAACTGACATTTCTGGCAGCAGGCAACTCGGGCACGGAGTTCATTTTCTGCTTCTTTTTGTGTGAAATATATTTTTTTTCAACCATTGCTTTCGTTTACCTATACAGTATCGCGTTAATTTTTAAGTTTAACAACATCTTTAGTTGATGGTTTACTTAAATAAGTTAGTGTGTTCACACGCCCTTGAAAACAGTGTTTTAAAAAAATCTAGTGTCAGCATAGCAACAGCACTTCGGTACATATAATTCCTATTTTGAGGGATATCGTTCGCTGTAAGAAGATAGGGTGCCTTTTTTGAAGTAAGTATCTTCCTAAATGATTATTTAGAAACAGTATTTGAGTTGTAAAAGAAAGTTAAATGGGGTGTACCTTTGTGCATTCGTTCCGTCCGTATAACAATACATACTTTAATATAGTGAATGTATAAAATATACCTTGCATTTGTCCGAGGTGTTTCGCGCAATATTCAGTAGTGTCTCAGTAAAATGACATGAATTTTAATATTATGTATCCACTTCAAAAGTCAGTGTGTGTGTCATTAAAGTGCATTATTTGCTTTTTGAATTCACATCTCAATGATAGGATGATGTCATATTTTACATGTAAACTTTACAGGTTTGTATCGTAATTTTGCTAAGTTATGTATTGTTATGAACAGAGAGTTATGAGCTATTGACTTATTGACATTGCACCTTGAACATAACAACACAGCTTAAGACAGGTTTTACAAAAACAATCACAACTTCCTGCAGTAAACTTATATAAAGGAACAATACTACTGATTCATTAACCATTTATTGTGTTATAATAGATAGATACTAATTGTAGGCACCTACTTGAATGTGTACCATGAACAATAGTCTTATAGAAATATGCCTATTTTATTTATGAATTACAATAACTTCCTCATAATAAAGAAAAGAGTATGTATTCAAGTGTTGAATATCATTTTGATACTGAAACAGAAGATAGATATTTGGCATGACCTAAAATTTGATTAACATTAATGATTTTGAAATTAACACCATATTATAGTTATTTTTAAAATGAACCACATGAACATTATTTTTTCTGTTTTAACTTAAATATATAGAAAAGGTGAAAAGAATCCGCATAGCTACCCACCGACCAAAAAATGCAGTTAGGTATTTTACTCAGTTAAAAGACATACTACTTGTATTATTTGAACTTAGCAATACAGTAAAAATAATTTTACTAGCAATAGTTCCTAACTATATTGTATTTTTGTTGGGTTGTACAGTGTCATATAGTAGACAACCCTTTCTGTAAAAGACCACCATTTTCATCATTAACATTTTTGAAATTGTGTCCTTCTTATGTTTATCATAGTGTACAATAAAGTGAGCACAATAATAATAAATTAATTAAAGTGTCCAAAACTAATATTGTTTTGCAATACATTTAATTTTCTTTTTCATATAGAATTGTTTTTAAAGATAACAGGCCATTAATTAGAAATATAACATCATTTAGTGGAACGAAATAAAAGTATTAAATTTACTTTCAAAAAAATTCTATTCTTTTTTCAATTTTATAAACTTATTACCACTATTAGTATTAATTTTTAATTGTTAAGAAGTTAGTTAGTTTTTTAAACCTAATTTGAAATCAATTGTTCTCATTACTACAATAAAACTATGACAGTAAAATCTCGAGAATACTCTAAATATACAGTGTCTGAATATAATTAGTTTCTCAACTATTAAACTAAATTATGCCTTTAGTACTAAATTAGAATATTTATGTAAATAGCTCCAACACGGCTACTTATTTTCTTAAAATAAAAATACACATTGGGTTATTTTTTTACTGAGATGCAGATTTTAAAGTTTTTGTGAATATGACAAAATAATTATTTTTTATTGGCATTAATCTACCACTTGTAAACATACCTCGGGTCTGCCTATTGCCCAAGCATTGCAGCAGATCTCCATTGAAAGGTTGTCAGAACAGGAAAAATCACAGATTGTGGTTATGGGTAGCATAACCTCATTTTATCAACCTCTTATTGGATTTTGAAACAATAACTAGGTAAAGAAATATAAATATACTAAATACCTACCACTACCAGAGTCATAAGTTCTGATGATTTACTGTCTGTGGCTTAGTTTATTCATCTAACTCCGCTAACTTTATTCAATAACTCTTAATCATACTGAAATGTTCCACGAATTGTCTTTATACGGGTAAAGTTTTCCTATTGTTTGTGTTTCTTGTATTAGTATTCATGTGATATTATAAAATTTACCGAATCTTACACTTTTAGTGGAAGTATGTTTGAGTTTGAAGGTGTCTCAGCATTTTGACAACCATAGCCATAATATTTTCATAAACCATAAAATAATTAAACTATGAATGTGTTGTGCTAAAGTGATGACCATCACAATAAATTTTCCTTCTTGTGTACATAAATTGCTAATTTAATATCCCTCTGTTATAATAACAAAACAAAACAATGTGGCATGTAAATGTGTTCATGGCCTGTACCCATACAATAACAGTATTCAATCATACAATTATCAAATGAATTTGAAAAATATAAAGCATGTAATAATATTGTTAACATAAACTCCATATAGATCAAGAAATTCTTAAGTCAAGTAGGATATGAAAATAAATTAAGTATTTTACAATTATGATGAATTCATTTGTGATGAGGTTTCCTAAATTGCACTTATAGTTAGGTTTTGTTACAGTAAAGACTTAAATAATTTGCATATAAATAATGAGGTTGCAAATTGAGTATACCTTTTTGTAAACTGTCTTTGTCTTTATTTTCAGATGAGAAATGAGGATGCAAGGCGAAAATCTAGGAATCAAGAAAAACACACACTAATTTAGCAAATTGTAAGTATCGAAGGTGGTGCTTTTATTAGAGTAAGATGATAACACGAAGATGGTTCCACCCAACACTATCGGGGGTGGAGGCGGAAAGGATACTCATGGAATGTGGCCACGATGGCTACTTCTTAGCAAGGCCTAGCATGAGCAATAAAGGTGATTTCACTTTGTCAGTACGGCGAGGCAATGAAGTAACACACATTAAGATACAAAATAATGGCGAGTTTCTTGACCTTTACGGAGGCGAAAAATTCGCTACACTATCCGAACTCGTTCAATACTATATGGATAATCAGTGTCAATTGCGTGAAAAAAACGGCAATATCATCCGGTTAAAAACGCCTCTCAACTGTGCCGACCCTACAACAGAACGCTGGTACCATGGACAACTCACAGCGAAAGAAGCGGAGCGAGTGATGTTAGAAAATGGAAAGAATGGCTCGTTTCTTGTGCGGGAGTCTCAGCGGCAGCCAGGTGACTTTGTTCTCTCAGTGAGGACTCGAGATCGTGTCACACACGTCATCATCCGGCGACAAGATAATAAGTACGATGTAGGCGGTGGAACACAATTTAATGATCTTGTCAGTTTAATAGAACATTATAGAAACTTCCCCATGGTTGAGACCACTGGTGAAGTTTTGCGACTGATACAACCGTTTAACGCCACCCGTATTCAAGTCCGACATTTCCACACACGAGTAAAGCAACTTCAAAAAGAAAATGAGGGTCCAATCGAGAGTATGGCTTATAAACAAGGCTTTTGGGAAGAGTTTGAAACGTTACAAATGATGGAGAATCTGCAACTTTTCGACAGAATGGAAGGATCCAAACCAGAAAACATACGAAAAAATAGATACAAAAATATTATACCTTTCGATCGCACCCGTGTTGTACTGAAAGACATACCACCTGACGCACCTCCTGGCTCTGACTATATAAATGCAAATTATATCCGCTGTGAGATGATCGAGCCAGGCTCAGATTGTCATGATTCTAGCAATGGAAGTTACGAAAATGGCTCAAGTCGAGACAACACACCTTCAAAAAATAAAGAGAAATCGTCACCTGTCCACACTAGTGTCATAGTTTGTGAAGAAAAATTAGCTAACGTAAAAGTTCAAGGTAATGGTACGAAATTAAGCCCACCTTTTGAGCCTTGTGTCTTACGAACAAATCCGAATTATGTTAATACCACAATTCCAAAATCAACAGAAGAAACTGAAAATGGTATTGTGGATCATGTCTACAACAAGTTATACATCGCGACTCAAGGTTGCTTATCAACCACTATTTATCCATTTTGGTCTATGATATGGCAGGAGGACGTTCGTATAATTATAATGACTACGAAAGAAATTGAGCGTGGTAAAGTTAAATGCGAGCGTTACTGGCCAGAATTAAATAAGACAGAAGTCTTTAAAAAGTTTACAGTACACAATGAATTTGAATCATCTACCCCAGATTATACGTTAAGACGCTTTGTTGTTACGAAAAAAGACGAGTGTAGCGTTAAAAGAACTATTTATCATTTTCATTTTACTGCGTGGCCGGATCACGGCGTACCATCGGAACCAGGCAGGGTCCTGAATATATTGTTAGATGTAAATTATAGGCTACAACAGATTATGACTGGGCCGGATCCTCCCGCACAGGCGGTCGTTTGCGTCCATTGCTCGGCAGGTATTGGTAGAACCGGGACGTTTATAGTTATCGATATGATCTTAGATCAAATAAGAAAAGAAGGCTTCGATTGTGAAATTGACATCCACCGTACGGTTCAGATGGTGCGCGACCAGCGATCTGGTATGGTGCAAAATGAGGCGCAATATAAGTTTATTTATATGGCAGTGTTAGAATTTATTGAAACTGAGAAGCAGAGAATTGGTCTTGGCCCCGAATCTAGCCAAGACTCTCCCCGAGTATGGTCGCATTCCGTTCCTTTTTTATGAATCGCGCTAAAAGCGCAAAGAAATTTTTATCAAAGGCTTTATCTCGTGGAAAATTATAGCAGGCAGAAGAGTCATCTTCTCGCATCCAATATTGTATTTCACGTGCTTAAACGATTTACTGTAAATGTTTAACATTTTAATGGAATAATTGTCATAGAGCATGATATAATTTGAGCTATACATATAAGTGGTGTCTATTTTTCGGATATAATGGAGACAAGAAGGAGAATATACGAATAACTATCTTTTATTAAAGGTTATTTTTATGTACTCGTAGAACTCCTTCGCTATGACCTTTAGGTATATTGATTTACTTAAGAAAGATAGTCTTTATAGAAAAATAAAAACACAGTATTGAAACTCGAAAAAACTTGGGCTAAGACTATTAAAATGACGGTGTATGAAAATGGTCGTCATTAAGAATTATATTAGTAGACCACAAATCTTCAACTATAAAAATGTATCTTTACTTTCTGTGCCCAAATTTAATTCGGGTTCACCAAAACCTGTTTTGCGGATGTAACTTGATAACAAACCAGAGGTCGTTACCGGTGACTATCGGGAACTACCATTCCGCACTGCGACAATTACAGTTGTAATGATGAAGTCCCTATAGTTCACGTTCAATGTAACGATTATGGCCTACAAAGTACCTTGTAATGGATTATTTGAATGCCTTATTAATTTCAATGTCCCTTAATTCTTAACCATTGCTGTAATTATTTACATATATAGTGAGTGGAGAAATATAGATCAAGGTATTTAGACAAGTGTCCATCGCTCCAGGATGACTGAATTCACAATATGTTACTCCGTAAATTAATTTCAATCTTTTTAAATTTTTATAAATTGGGAACGATCTCGAGTTTCAAAAGACATTTATCTAGATTCCTTGTTTTGTATTACAGATCTTTTTTCAAATGGAATTTAGAAGGAAACCTTGTACCTATTTGAGTCATAAATCATATCAATTAATTTCATTAAATTGTATTACATTTTATGGATTTAGGAATGTATAATTAAAATTTTATGTAAACTTAAACAAAAGATGTATTGGAATGGACTTCAATTCAGTTTAGAACTATCCTCGAGTCGATCAAGCTTAATGGTCACCCAAAAAATTTATGAATTAAAGCTAACAGTACACATACCAAGTTTCATTCATAATCTAACCAAATACCAACAAGCCACCAAGAGGTATCGTATGGACATAAAATACGATATGTTTCTATACAAAAATATTATTTATACAATATTACAAAAATGAAATTAAGGAATTATTATTAACAATGCAGATGAAATTTAAGGAATTTGAAAATATTAACGCATTAAAAATGAGTTAGGAGAAATCTAATTTTACGCACAATAAAACATGTAATTAGCATTGTGTATAATATTTTGTATATTTAGTTGAGTTTATTTTAGTTGACGGCCTGATTGTATTATAATGATCTTAAGTCTTAACTTCGTTGGTACCACGATCGTTCCGATTGACGTCATAAGATGGCGACTTGGGCAGTGACGTCATGAGCACTTGTAAGTTTGATTTATAGTTAAAAGGGAATGTGCAAGGCTTTTGAATGATTTCACTAAAACCCCTTATAATTCATATCCGGATAGCATGCATAGCATGCAAATAAAATAATCTCTATTGGGATGTGGTTATTATAAAATTTCTTAGCGTCCACGTTAATGAAGGAAATTAATAAATATTTAAGTGAGTGTAAATTTTTGAAGATGTAATGTGACAGGACACGGCACAGAATTTCCTTAATTTTCGTATAAACATACACTTAACGTTACATAGTGGTGCTTAAACTAAATGTATGAATAATACACCCTTAGGTTAAATATTCAAAAACCTTAATTAGTATATTCTCAATAACAATAGTGTTGCTACTGGTATAACGTGTATTATCACCATGTAACTATACATACATGCTTAATTATTTTCCGCTGTGCCCTGTCGTGACACGTTTTGTATGAAGCTTAAGAGGAAACTAATAATAAATAATTGTTGTTAATTAAAAACTATTATGTTAGTTGTAAACGGCGACCTGAATAATTTATCACACAGTTGCTTTAATATTGCACTACACGAAAGTCAGGAGTTGACTTTAACGTGATCTCGAATTGGAGTTTGATTTGAAAAGAATGTTATTTTTTTATATTATTCGTCAACCATATTCATATAAAGGTGGACGTTTTCATATAGGTTTTCAAATGTTGTTAAGTTTATGTAACGCTTACCATCAATCAAAATGAGACGTTTTCGTGCACTCAGCTTATTGTTTTTGTAGTAATAAATTGTACAAAATATTTTGTGCCTTAATTTCTATAAATTCAAAAGGCAATAAATTGTATAGTTATTTTAAGTAAAATCGTATGCCCATTAATTCTAAAGAGCTTGTTTACAAAAGTAATAAATAGGTGCATTAGTCTTTTTTGTCAGTAATGCATGGTAAGCGTTGCATAAACAAATGCAATTTATTACCTACCTTTGTACGTGGCCTTCGTATGGCTAGAGAAAGGGTTTTCAAACACAGGTTGAATGCATATAACACAGCTCTAGTATAATGGTATACCAAACATAAAAATGTAAAAAGTATGTCATGGATATAATTTTAAATGTGAAGTGAGTATGTGATTGGCTCTTTAAACATTGCTATATGTACTAGAGCGAATTAGACTTAAGTACCTACTTGTAGCCGTGATACAGACGTTGTATTAAGATTAAAAATTAATTAAGTCCTAGTTAGATGTCAAATCGACTTACGAATTGAATAAATATACCTAGGTGTCTTCTCATACGCTCCCCTAAAAATCTGTGCAATCTTTTTTATAAATTCTGAAGAAATACCTGTTAAGTGTTCTTTTTTATTACTCAACGTTAAATCAATTGATAATTTTAAAAATAGGTTTTTCATTTTCCCCAAAATGATTATTTGTGCAAGAAAAATGTATGGAGACTGTTTGTATTGAATTGACTGTTTAATACTTATGACGCAATTTTGCATTATTTGAAGGACCACCCCGTACATTCTTCGTTTCTATGTATCATTCAATTACCTAAATATAAGAGTAGTACTATCGAACCTTCTAGAAATCAAAATTGTACCAAAGCTTACATATATACAGATAGGATTTGGAACAATTTTGTAAATGAATTTATATCCAACCAGTCTCCATAAATAAATGTAGTAATATAAATTAATTGTATTTTTTAACCTTATATTCTTGTCAAAACTTGTAATCGGAGGTGCTTTTTATGTGAAGTATAGTTGATGGTAATGACATGGTGCGTTATTTTTATGTTTTTTTTGTTTCTACGCGTAGATTGCGTAGTACATTTTGTATATGTAGGTAAATTCAGGCAGTGATAATTTAATTTAATTTCTATAAATAGTATTCGGTGTAATAATTATATGTAGGGATTAGTGAGTGTATCTAGTATAAAAACTTAAGCTCTAAGACACTTTATTTATAAACATACAACGATTATAACGTTAACGCACATTTCAATTGATGTATTTGTATATAATTTTGTTTTGTTTTTGCCTTTTAATGGCGCGAATTGGTACTACTAATTTATTTTCTGCAAAAATGTCTATTAAATGTAAGAATTCAGGATTTTCCCTGTCCTATTTCGAAGAGCAATATAATTGTTAATAACAAAGTTCAGCTTGGTTACTTATTTTCGTTTTCTTGCAAATTGTGTAAAATGTAACAAGAAAGTATTCTAAAACTTCAGAAAAATAAATAAAACTTACGATTTTTTTCATTTCTCTCAGTTGAACATGGCGATTTGTAATAGGGTTGTTTAATTTTGAGTTCACGGTAACCCTAATAAAAATTATGTACTTTGGTACCCAAGAAGATTTTAGTAGTTTCTGTGTAAAAATGGTTGCTGCACAAAATTTGAAAATGAACTATTATTAAAATAAAGTAAAATGTTAGTACCTAATTGAAAATTAATAACGTCTTTTATCGATGTTTTAGTGTACCTAGTACGCGAATTATAATATTTTATTGACGCCCTAATAAGGGTATGACAAATGTCTAAATACTTAGAAAATTGTCACTGCTTGAATTATTCAGAGCTATATGTTGTTGGCATTTTATTTAAACTGTTATTCCAATTTGTAAAACTGAGCTAAAGTAATCGCATGATGGTAGAGGAAAAAAGTTTTATCGTCCGATAAAAATATATGTTGTGTTTTATTGTATATTATCAATAAAATGTGATACCGACTGTGTGATCGTTTTTATCTTAGCTAACACCTTTCCCTCTTAGTTGGGACCACCTTCATTGTATCTCAACGACTCTTATGCATTGAGGTTGAGGTTGCGCCTGTGAGTTGCTCGCAATAATGTACCGCGGAGCAGGGAAAGGAACTGGGTGGTTTTTAGTCAGTAAGAGTCCGACGCCTCCTCTCGCCATATCCAAGGAAAAATCTAAATTTGAATTTCCTCTCATAAAAACTACACTTTAAGCATAGCAAATATAAAACATGCCAAACAAAATTGGGTAAATGTACCTATTGTCTAAATCTAGATTTCAGTTTAAATTACTATTTTACGACTTCAATTAGTGCTATACAACACATACTTACTTCGTATCTAGAAAGGAAACAAAAATGTAGTTAGTACCTATCAGCCCTCGAGGCCTATTTTCACCTTCATACCTATAAACTCGATAAACTTATGTAGCGTGTGGTGTGGTTGTTACATTTCAGTCAGCTTTAGTAACCGCTACTATCTATCCAAACAAATTGAAACAAGCCTTCATTGATATAATTTTTTTTTTACAATAGGTACATCTGCATACCCCTTTGGCAAATACATGTATTATCAGTATGAATCTCAAGATTTTACTGTCCTTTTTTTTTTTTTTTTTGTGAGGGGAAAATCATCAAATGACTTCTCCCGCCCAGGGCCGGGCAGGAGGGAGTGTCAGACTCTTACTGACTAAAAACCCCCCTGTTCCTTCTCCTGCTCTGTGCCGAGGTCGCGGTACCTTATTGCGCTTACCCCGCAACCCCGGCTGAAGATTTTACTGTCCTGGGACTACGATTTCGATAACTCCCTCTATTTCGTACGTATTCATAATTCACCTCCAATACTGATATTCATATTATTCATAAATATTTTATGCATGCGCGCATTGAAGTAGAGAGGCATGACGTTTTATTTTGTAGTGCTGCGCCCGCCGTTGAAATGTAAACAGTTGACCCTTTAGATAAACTGTTGTACACTCAAATCCTTTGTAACGAAAGATATGGCTTTCAAATCTATATATGGATAAGGTTGTACATACTTAATGCAATGTGCATTTAATATTTAGTGACAATAGTTTCTGTTGTATTTTTCCTTATGTACCTCTGTTTTCGTTTATAGGTATTTCGTGTTTCTACTTAATGCAAACTTGGACTCTTACTCTTGATTGGCAAAAGTACATGGACTCCCTTGAACCCTTGTTCCCAGGACGAAAGTTGTCAGAAAATACAAGATAGCTACGATAGACATATTTAGGATATAATATCGGAATATATGGGATAAAATATAACACCTTTTATACCACAAAGAGAAAGAGACAATATTGCAGAGAGTTGCAGATTGATACTCATGTCATACCCAGGCACCAGTTATAATAAAATTAAATGTCATTTACTAAGTATAAAATGGGTTGAGCCTATTACCAAATACCTAGCTTAATTAATTTAACTATGTAATAGTAGGATTAAATTTAAAATATTGCAATATTTTTTGTGGATTAAACCTTAGGCTTCTTACACACGTAAGTCACACTCACAAAAATAATGAGGTAGTAGGTAAGTAGTAGTACAATAAAAAACTCTGAAATTAATATGTAGGTATGATTAATAAATAACAGCTAACGTACATGAATTATTTTAAAATCGAATGGAATTTATTGTTAAGGTTTTGGATAGAAAAACAAAGTGATTTTAGGAGATTTATTGAGCTTAACAATTAAAACAAAGGAAAGAAAGTGTCACACAATTAAAACGAGATTTACCTTCTTTCATAAATAAAATACAAATTAAAAGGTTATTTCAAATTATATAAAGTTTTCCTACATTAGATTTTGAAGTCATGTAAAAGTAGTCAGTTAGTCATCGTTATTGACTTGAATTTCTTCAATGCCATCACTTTCAGTCACCAGAGCTCTCTCCAAGATCACTCGCCCCTCCTTGTACCTAAAAACAAAGAAAAATATAGAAACTTTTACTAAGAGCATATGGTTTACCAAACTACATTCCTTTTTTAATTTGTTGACCTTGTATATTAAAAAGTAAACAAGGTCAAAGTTAAATGTTTATCATCAATTCAATTTAATTCTGGTAAATAATTTTTTTATGTGTAGATGGTATTAGTAACTGGTTTGTTCAAAATTCAGGTTCAAATCTTGCATGGTTCTTACAACTCTATGCGGTACACAAATTGTTTCAATATAGTTAGTTTATTACAGATAGAAAGAATAATTAATCCTTGTAAAACACTTTTAAGTAAAGTAGCGAATTTGATTTATTTCTTGACAAACTACATAAGTACCTCTGGTTTTCCTCAGTAGCAAACTCATAAACCCATCCTAACTTAGTGCCACAGTTCTTGCAGGAGACATCGCGCACCATATGTCGGCCCGTCAGCATCACACGATCTTGCACTTCAGAGTAAACTAGGTTTACAACCTTATGGAACAAAAATGCCCGACCTAAAACCAAATTTATGGTTGTAAAAATGAAAGGAGTAATTATTTAAAGTTACACACATTCCTATGATATGTTTTGTCGTCAGTATGGTGGTTTTCCACATAACACAACCATTGATCTCAAACTCTATACATTTACGTAAATTGCCTCAATGTCTTACATTTTTGTTGTTTGGGTAATCTTTAAATACAAAATAAAAGTTACATGCAATTCTAGGTAATATTAAACGCAATGATCTTGCAAAATACTATTACGAAAACAAACAATACAAAACAAAGACTACCTGTAGCTCCAGTAAAACGGGTGCTGATCAGCTCTGAACGATTGGTCAGATTTACGTCGCAAGAAGCACAAGAGAATAAACGAGTACCACCAATGTGGTCAAGAAATATTTTACCCATTTTTAAGCCTTTCAATTTCTTAATAAAATTTTGGTTCTTTGTTTGTTGTCAAAACAATAAGTTCGCTCAGCTGATACTGACGGACGCGTGACATGTGGATAGCTGTCACATAATCTATGGCATTCGAATTGTCGTTCTGAAACTTTGTAAAATATAGATGCATTGTTGCCTAAGTTAAAGTGCAACATTTTTTTTTAATATACTCGATGTATGCACACTATTTGAATGTTTAAATATTAAATATATCTTTACATTTTTTTACATTCAAATCATGGAAACGAACAAACAATACTTATTCGAACGAACCCGTCAACTAACAAAGGCGGGTATTGAAAAGAAGTAGGTAGCGTAGCAAGAGACATTAAATTTTTGTATAAATAATTTACACAGGTAGATTTTCTATTTACCGTGGTGGATAAAAACCAAATAAAGGACCACACACAAAGAGCCCTTAGCTCCCAGCATTTCAACAACGCTTTATTTGTCAGTTTCCACGGCAACTGTCTTTTCAGTTTTACATGAACTATGAATTTTATAAAAAAAAGTAAACACAGTTACGTCTGTTATTTTATTTTTACAAAATTAAATAGATTTAATTCGTGAATAGTTATTATGGAAGGTATAAAAGAAGAGGCTATACATCATACAGCACTAAAACTCGCGGAAGAAATTAAAAACCTCTCAATTTATAAATCATTTTATAGTGATGTACAGGTATGTTTAATGATTGTTACCTATTTACAATTCCTGTAAATAACTATCATTATTTTTGTTTAATAAATGTTACATACTTAAATGATAGCTCTTTTCTATATAGCATATCATATCGTCTCGTATCATAATAGCATATCGCCTCGTAGGAAGATGCAAGATTATTGCTAGAAGACATAAAAAGGTAAACAGTATTACCATGGTTAGGGACGGAAGTCACTACTAGATTGGATTATGCATCACTATCATCGATATCAAATCAAAAAGATAGCTTTTGTACACGCAATTTACTAGATACATAAAGATAGACACAAAAGCATTTTATTTTATTTTTTTCAGAAACTAGTATCGTCGCCAAATGTTAAGAAGGAAGATTTCAAACAGACATTACAGCAAGCTATGAAAGAAAAGGGTTTAGATACCAAACTTAGGAATACAGTTTTTCATTGGGTTAGAACACAAAGTAAACAAAATGTAAGTAGGAATAAGAATAAAATTTCCCTCGCTATCTTAAAACAGAATTGATTACCTAAATAATAAATTTAGAATGATGAGTAAAGTCCAAATTGTTACTTTTTCCAGAAATTAGATCCATTGACATCCCTTTTAAAAGCAAGTGCACAATGGGAAAAAAGAATACATAAATCGTTGAATTCAATGTGTACAGATCTTGAAACTTCGTTAGCAAAAATTAGACCTCAAAGTGAACAAGAAGAATTATCTGACAAATGGAATGAACTTAGTACTTACACTTTAGGTAACTACAATACTGATTTGTCGTTTATTTCACGAATACGACCACCTCAAGTCACTAAAAGTCGACGATTTATTTCAGACCTTTCAAAATACAGACCTGTTTATGCACCAAAAGACTTTTTGGAAGTACTGTTAACTTTATCTGGCTATGTTCCTTTCACTCGAGAGTAAGTGTTTACGTCTAAATAATTATAATGCTTCCATCAACGCAATGCAAGATATGTGATGAATGTAGGTATATTATAATTTATTTTCAGGGATGAACCAAAGTGGGAGTTTGCACATCTACCGATCCAAGTTAAGACATTAGATCAGTTAGTAAGTATACTTTAATGATAGAATTATGATCTATCATCTACGCGCGCTCCTCAAAGACTCAACAGACCACCACAGACGGGGCCATATAGGGCTGATGGCTTTACGGAGCAAGAGAAATGAGGCACCGCAGCCTCGGCCTGAAACAGGAGAAGGAACGAAGGGGTTTTAGCCAAGAGTCTGAGACTCCCTCCCGCCCGACGAGAGAAAACATTTGATGATTTTCCCCTCACAATAAAAATTATCTATCATCTAAAATAATTGCGTTCCACAGGGTTAGGTATATTTTTGACACGTTTGTCTAATATTTTCAGCGAAAAGTTTTCCCAGAATGGGCACAAGGTGAACCTCTTTTGGGTGTAAATCCAAATATGCCGAGTTCAGTACCGGGGTTCTCAACACTCGAAGCAGAGCGCATTAGCTTGGGAGAGAGAGTTGCAGCCCTGGGCTACGCGCCGGTCGTACAGGAGTACTTAAAGAAGGGAAGCCCTCAATGCCTTCGAGCGAAGTTGTGGTCGCAAGTCTTAGGTTCTGAAGTAAAGGGTCAGGTAGGTGATAGAGAACTCAGCTGAAATCCTTGAGGGACCTTTACAGGTTAGCATTTGATGAAAGTTCAATTTGTTTGCAGCAAACGGCATACTTCGCTCAACTTAAAAAGAATGTTCTGGAAGTTGATTTGATGATAGACAAATTAATATTTAAAGATGTACAATTAACGGCTTCGAACGATGACCAGTATTTCGTATTTGAAGATTTATTGTATCAGGTAAAGAATAGTGCATACAACTTTACTCGCAGTATAAAATGAGGAGAAGGCACGGCTATATAATTGTACTTAACTTTTTATAAAATTCTCTCATTTTACAGGTGATGTTATGTTTTTCCCGCGACATCGATGTAATGCAACAATTGAAAGGTAGTATTGGCAATCCGCCGACAGTGACAATAAAAGGAAAACAGACTTCAGCGGAAAGTATGACTGTGTTTCCTCCAAGCGGAATTATACCTTTCCATGGTTTCACTATGTATGGTAAGAATATATTTTGTAAAAATAACGATGAACAAGATAGTGGCTGGCTCACCAGCATATGGTTCATAATAAAGGACAGTATCAGATGCTTCGACACAAATAGGCCGGCTCGACAGAAAGATATCGCAGCCTTACAGCAAAACAATAGTAGGTAATAGGTCCTCAATACACTTGTAACTCCTCCATATTATGGTTGCATAAACGCAAACAATTGCTTTTTGGTTTGGATTTGTTGTCCATGGGAGGCGTCAATTGCTTACCAAGTGATCCGTCATATTATGTCGTAAAAAAGAAATCTACAAAAAAGTAGTCGCAAGCGCGACTGTCGAACACAGAGTTCTAGAGACTGCATTTTCGATTGACAGTAAGTCAGCGTTCTTTTAGTTTTTTGTTTATAATCTATTAGCTTTTACCCGCGGCGTCGCTCCCGTCATTTGGCTACCTACCCTAGTCTACCTAACCTACTCTACCTACCCTACTCTACCTACCCTACTCTACCTACCGTACTATACCTAATCTACTCTACCTACCGTACTATACCTAACCTACTCTACCTACCCTACTCTACCTAAGCTACACTACCTACTACTCTATCCTATCCTATGTCCTTCTCTCAGGTCATAGCAAGGAAAATCGGTTCAGCCGTTCTTGAGTTATAAATAGTGCAACTAACACAACTTTCTTTTATATACACCGTGACTTTTTAGTCGTGTTACAAAAGTTGTCCACTTAACACGTTAATCGCCACGTAGGTCAGCGGTGACCTACGGTAGCGGAGGATTTGCCTTCAATGTTTTTCTGTCGGCAGTCAAAGGCTTAATGTATCCGACATAAAATACCTCTAGGCGCGATTTTTTTTATCAATTAAGATAATAGGTACGAAAAATATTAGAAATATGAAATATAAAAAAAATATTAGAAATATGAAATATGAAAAATAAAAATCTTTACTTATCAAACTGTAGAGTATCCTCCATCTCCATTTTCTACGAGACAAAATATCGCAAACCAATCTAGCATAGTCCACGTGGACTGTTGTCCAATCAGATTGTCTAAAGCTATCCTTATACAAGATCGGCGCACGCGATGCCCCGCCCCTTTCACTTGAAATTAGGTGAAGGTCACTCTTACTGTAGCTTAGGCTCGGACCGCGCTCGCTACAGAGTGTTTCTAAAACTACGCCTTGCGCCATAATACTGAATAATATTTTTATTTTTAATTTATTTAAATCACATTTTTTTTTTTATTATGAACGTTTTAGTCATTAGATACATGAACTGGGATTTGTAAAACGACTAAGAAGTTAGAGAGCGACACGCCTAAATGGGTTTAATGCATTAAATTAAACTGATCAAATGTAGGTGATCTGTTTTCGATCTCTATCTCTCTCTCTCTCGTCACTCTCTTTTCTCTCTCTTTTTCTTTTTATTACTTGACCAACGAATTCCAGAATTTGTAATAGGAACCTTTTATTCGATATTTAAATCCATCAATATTGTTGTTTCAGCAACGCCTTTCTGCTATTTGTACGACGATCCTGTTCAATTGTACTATACGTTTCGAGCATTCTATGTGAGGTACTGGCATCGGTTACATTACATATCGACGCATTCACAGGTATAATTTATATACGTTTTATTTTTTCCTATACATATATTTGTACCTATACCTATTTAGATACCAACTAAGTATCAATTTGTTCGTTGAGTTATGGCCCATACCATGATCTGCCTCTGAGTCACCCTATGATACACTGAAAGAAAATGGCTTCAGCATGAAGTCTAATTTTTTTTTTAAATAACTGAAAATAACAGCGTGATTCTAGTAACGTAGAGCTGTTTCCAGTTTAAGTTCAAATTCTGGTCATTTACAATTAAGTCTCACGATAATTATTAGAAAAAATAGATCCGCTGTCATATGTACATTTAGTACACATAAAGTATTTGAAATATCTGTGAAGTTACTAGTATATGGATATTTGTAGTTATAAAACGTATGAACCTTTTTTATTTGTTTTACTCCTTTATTTTCCGAAATACCTACTTATAGCTAAACCTTGTATATACTGAATTGTTTAAGTGAATTTCATGAATTATAATTCATGTTTATTTTCGATTAATTATAAAGTTATTGTATTAAAGCGTGGTAATATTCTTGTTTACAACCAACCAAGTCAAATTGCAGGTGGTTCAACCTGTCTGTAAGTTATAATTTTACATTATATATGTGAAAATTGTTGACACACAATTTTCCTATAACTTTTATTGCAAACTCAATATATTAGATTTTCAAAGAATAATTAATAATATCACTGGTAGGTGCCGAACTACATATAATGCACGTACGCGATAACTTGCAACTTCAATCGGATATATTTATTTATTAAAGAAGTTTCTTGTCAGTCAGTTTCTTGTGCTTTTTATGCACAAGAAACTGTGGACAAGGTGGACTTAATGCTTGCGAGCATTCTTTACCAGTCTGACCTTTGATATAATATCTTTCTAAAAACTATTTTTTTAATTGCAACATAAAGTGTATCAGAATGTGTTGTCAGCCTTTTCGGGCATCCGGTTACCTCACTCGAAGTGTGAAACACAACACAAAAGTTGGTTTACGCCGGGTTTTTTTGAGGCCGTAGTATGTATATCCAACAGACGCGACGATGGCACTCCCATAATTACAGACAGATATAGTTAAATCCATTCTGGTGGCGGCACTGATGCTTACCATCACTTACACCCGGTTTGCGAAAGGCCGATCAATGTTAAAATCTATTTTAATAAACTAATTAAATCTCTTGTCAAGTCATCTGATTGGTTGACTGAATTATCAACAACCAATCAGATGACTTGACAAGAGATTTAACAGGAGATTAGTGAATTTTAGCGTTGACAAGCCTTTCAGAAACCGGGTGTTAGTCTCGGTTATCCATGATATATCACAATTTTAATAAAATTTAGGTATATAGTTGGACGCTAAAATAAATGTAGTTTTAATTTTCCAGGGTATTGTATCATTGTGTCTACTATACGAGAGGCTCCTAGAAGCGAATGAACCTTTACTTTGGATACATTTTAGAAATATCAACATTAATCCGTAAGTACATTTTTATTTTTCATTTTCATTTTATCGTTGGAGAAACCACGGAATAGAAAATACAGTGGAAGTGCCGCTCAGTCATCGCGCGCTAACCAACATGATGAGTAGATATACAACATTTTGGCACATTTGTTGTCAGAATCGTTCGATCCGTTGTCATGATTGGTTGTCATGGTTGTCTCTAAGAAACACGAAATATATTAGAAATTATGCCTTGTTGTGCGGTTTTCAACTGCAAAAAAGTAAGCAGAAAAAAAGATGAGTCTTGTGGTGGTGTATCGTATCATCTTTGAGTATTAACCTTTGTTAATTTTAAATATATTTGATTTTAATGTAAATATCACATTTCATTACTTCAATGCAAACTATAAAGGGCCTTATTTTCATTACAATTAAGTTTAAATCTACTTGTTCGGTGACGTTATATACAATACATTCTAGTAGTTTCGACGCTACTCATTTAGGGATGCGACATATTCGTAACATAGGTTCATATCGATAATTTTTCATCATCATCGTTCAGAAAATTGATTTTTGACAATTTTTGTGTATAATTCATAAATGTTTAACTAAGATTGCATAGACACATCAACGTTTTAACCACACACAGCGTGCATCCGTCTGTGGCAGGTGCGGGTGGTTAATCACCATTTTTATTTTATAACTAGTTTTCGCGAGCGGCTTCGCCCGCGTGCTGTGTTGATAAAAAGCAGCAAATAGCAATAGAACAAAATCTAAGTATACATAAAATTTAGTATTTATCGTCTCATTTTTATGGGTACATCTCCAATGGGTAAATACCCTATTACTTACTAAGTCTCCGCAGTCCGTCCGTCCATAGATAAAAAGGTACGGATCTAACTAATAGGTAAGAGTTACAAATATTTGATAAAACCTATATTATATTATATTTTATACCGCATCGTGTCGAGCACGGCAACCGCTACACAAAAATAAAAATGCCCAGGAGTATAAAGAATAATTTTACCAAGTTTTGTTAAAATCCGTCGAGTAGTTTTTGTTTCTATAAAGAACATACAGACAGATAGACAAAATTTTTACTGATTGCATTTTTGGCATCAGTATCGATCACTAATCACCCCCTGGTAGTTATTTTGAAAATATATTTAATGTACAGAATTGACCCCTCTACAGATTTATTATAAGTATAGACGTTGTACATGATTTTTATCAGAGTTCCAAAAAGGAGAGTGACTCTCAATTTGACTGTAACATTTTTTTTGTTTTTTCGTCTCCGTTATTTATGAACCGATTTTAATGATTCTATTTTAGTTGGAAAGGAGATAGAACTTGTAGGAGCGCGTAGTGCTTTTATATGTTAAAATCGAAATCTTTAATAATAACTTGACCATCTCCAAAAAGCATTAGATCTTCAAAAAATATGTTAATATTTTTCTTTTTTTCTATTAGAACCTTTTTCATTACTGATCATTTCAAAAAAGTCAAAAAAGTCAAAAATAATTTATTTCAATTAGACCACAGTAGGCACTTTTGAACGTCAAGCAAGCAAAAAAGGAAAAAAGTATATAACAAGAGCTTTAAAATTAAGCGTGTCAGTCTGTCCGTCTGTCCTCTAGTGAAGCTATTTGCTCGTTCCAAAGTGTAGATTCCTATGGAGAAGAACGAGCAAGAAACTCCATGGTTACTCTTTTTCAATCAGTTTTACAACACAAATTTCTTTGTTACATCATTTAGTCGGTTCTGATATGTGAGAACAATGTAACACTAATGTTCAGGCAAAAAGTACGAAAAAGAAGTGAACCTCAAGGACAACATATTTAGACAGCCTGGAGATGACCAGTCCCAATAGGCGGCGCCCGTTCACGAACATGACACGTACACCAGCACCGCCCAACTCAACCATATTATAGGGAATTGGGCGATCCAGTGCCCGTGCCACCGCCAATGAGACCTCTGAGTGAGCATGACAGCTCCCAGCCGACACAAGTACCTATATTCTACAAGTCTTACTTAATTATAATAGGTTACAGGGCACTCACATTTACAAAATCTTAGAAGTTCATCAACAATTAACAACATAGTGTACAATTTAATAATTAAAAACAAAAAAATACTCTAAACATCCTGTGGAGTAGGACCAGCTAGCCTCCAAGCATTTTTATCTTTTATATAATCATTTAGTTTGTAGTATGCTAGTTTACATAAATGTTTCTTTATACATAATTTAAATTTGCTTTCATTTAAATTTTGAATTTCAACTGGGATTTTATTATAACATTTAACACAGAAACCCAGGAATGACTTATGCACTTTTGCTAATCTGAATAAAGGCTGACTCAATCTATTCCTATGACTAGTATGATAATCATGTTTGTCAGATACCTTTACAAATAATTGTAGGTTTTTCCTAACATACATAATGTTTTCATAAATAAATTGACTCGGTACGGTCAGAATGTTGATCTCTTTAAACTTTTCTCTGAGAGATTCGCGACGACCTAAGTTATATATAGCTCTGACGGCACGCTTTTGCAAGATAAAGATAGACTCAACGTCAGATGCCTGTCCCCACAACAGAATTCCATACGACATGATGCTGTGAAAGTAGCTTAAGTACACTAGTCTTGCCGTGCCTACATCGGTTAGCTGACGGATCTTCCAGACAGCATAAGCTGCAGAGCTCAATCGTCCTGCTAGAGACCTGATGTGGGGCCCCCATTCCAACTTCTCATCTACAGTGATCCCCAGGAAAGTAGTCTCTTTTACAAATTCTAGTTTCTGATCATTTAATAATATATCATCACATACGTTACTTTTAACATTTGGTAAAATAAATCTAATGCATTTAGTCATTTGTAGGTATATCGTGTCGATAAATTATATTGCTCACACGAATACAAAAACATCGATATATTGGGATACCCTGCCCCATCTGAGTAGCAAAATAGTAAATGTCTATTGGGACAAGTGCATACAAATATGACATCTATTTCAAAGAAGTAAGCGTTTTGAATAGAATGAATTTGTTACAGCGCCATCTAGCGTTGAGTGGCTGAACCCGTTTGTAAATTGTTTTATTTAAGTTTTTTACACGATAGACGCCTTTATTGATTGTGACATGTGAAATGATAACAACTTTCGCTCATTGTTATAAGACTCAATTTTTAACAACATTTAAAAGATGATTTGTTAAAGTTGCGTTTCATCTTTTTACCCAATTATATAGCTGTTTTTAATGTGTGTAATGGACAATTTGATTTGCGAATGTGTGATTTTGGCGACACTGGTTTTCCTTTTGAAAGAGTGTAGGGGCACTTCTACTTAATTTTCTGTTCTGTGGGAGAAACGGAGGCATCTAAGCGACTTTTTTTACTTCGAGCAACATTGTATTAAAATTAAAAGTTGCCATTTTAGAAATTGTCTATCACAGTCCGGAATTGTGCTTGGTGTATGTTTACTCTTCTAATAGTCTAAAAGTTTTAATATAATATATTATATAATAGTCTTTCATTACTTTAATACAACTTCAAAAACATTCTTTTATGTGATAAAAAACGTGCCAATGCGTCGCTCTCCCATACTTGGACATGCCAAATTAAATGATTTTAATTGACTTCTTTAAATATGTTTTTAATTTTTCTATTACAGAATAAGAGTAGTATTCAAATGGTTGATGCGGGCCTTCAGTGGACATCTACCACCCGATCAATTACTACTACTCTGGGATGCCATACTGGGATACGATTGCTTAGAAATCCTGCCATTACTAGCGTTGGCAATACTAAGTTTTAGAAAAGAGAATATATTCCAAGTGAATACTTTGCAGAATGTTGATGCTGTGTTGGCTGATTTATCCACTATTTCCGTAATACCATTGTTGCAATTAGCATTAATGAAACCCTGATGTAAAGTCTTGCGCATGTGTTATGTATATGTCATTGTCAAACGAGATTTGTCAAAGTTGGATACTAGCCATTTAGACAACAAAGTTCAAATAAATAATATTTTATTTACGTGACTTGTAAGGTTTTTATTAGAATTATTGATTTATGTGCAATACGGGCAGACGGCGTGATAAAAATGATAGTGTCACTTTCAATTTCAAATAGCTAATGAAAAAGTTAACCGTACTCTTATCCTCACTGTGTGGAAAGTTGTGGAAAAGATAACAGTAATACTACTTTGGTCTACATTTAAGTCACTGACTTCGGGGCAATTTTAAATAAAATAAATAAATCGAAATAAATAAAAAAATATTATCTGTTAAAATTACTTTGATATTTATTTAACGTTAGTGGTTCGATAATTACTTCATTATACATATGCGCAAGTCTCCATTGTTAAACTTATTGTTTTATAGTCATTTTTTTTCTAATTTTGTAGAATGAGACATTTTCAAATTAAAAAAAGAAAGTACAAAGTGTTACCTCATTAAATTTATTTTTTCTTACACACAACACACCAATTGCCCTCTTCGTAGAAACTGTCTTCTATTATTAAATTAGCTTCTTTACATAGTTCATCTAATTCACCTTCTTCAAATACGTGATAGTACCGTAGTAAAGTGTTTTCTGCATTGTTTGAAACTTTATTTTCAGATACTTTCTTTAACTTCCATGGTACTAATAGATCTTGGTGTTTGAATTGTGTGCGGTTTTCGTGCACTGGAAGGTTGACACCCCCAACCGTGATCTGAGTCTCTTGGGTCTCATCAACTTGGTCTTGTTTACTTTTTAGAAGATAATTTGATTTCGTTTGATCCTTGGCCCAAACAGTGATGAGAGCGCGCCCTCCTTGGCGGAGTAAACGGTGTATAGTAGACACTGCTTGTAGCCTTCTGGCCTGTGGAAAACAATTTATCAATTGGAACACTTTTGGTTCTAGCATTTGGCAATTTACTGCTTTCAGCAGTGCTGAATAAAGTTTGGTTACCATTATTTTTCTTTGTTAACACCGTCACTAAGCCTGACTGGGACCTAGAACGGGTTCGTTACCTACATCGAGTCGATTGATGGATTTTGCTAAAAGTTACTTAAAAGTATAACATTTTAGGGAAAAATTGTGATATTTCGTTATTCGGTAGAATATTAAATTCAAATTATGATAAATATGTAAAATGCCAAAAGAGTGAAGTTAAAATACAACGCATCCAATAAGATAGTGAATAACCTACCTTGCTACTAAAATGGTGTATGACAGCAATACATATGACAATATCTGCACTGTTATCTCTCAACATGGAGTGCAGTAGATCCAAACGTACGCAGTCCGCTGCTCCAATACCATGAATATGTTCCTTGCACTCTGATAGTAGCCCGGAACTACGTTCACCTGCTATCTGCAATTTAAGGTCCCTTTTGAAAACGGACACGAGTCACTTGCTGAAGTTGGAACACTATGGTATTCGAGGGGCTTCACTCAATTTATTAAAATCATACCTCCAGGGTAGGCAGCTCAAAGTACAGATAAATAAAGTGAACCTCTCAGGTTGCTAGAATATCTATGGGCGTATCACAGGGCTCGATATTAGGTCCTTTCCTGTTTTTAGTAAATGATTAACCTCATTTATTTCAAAAAAAAAAAATGTTTTATTAAATTTTTAATATTTATATCAAAATTATTTATTCAAACTAAACCATAAGGAGGTATTTTTGAAACGTCAAAATGGAATAAGTCTTTCAGTCAGTTCGTCGGTGAAGCTATAGTTCGTTCCATAATTAGAGACAACAATTTGACAACAGCAAATGTCAAACTACAAAATAATGTGGCCAGATTTTTTTACATAGTGATGGGCCCGATGTTTTAAATAAAATACCGACACCGTTTTTTATAAAATACCCTGAGCAAAATAAAACAACGTTGCGGTGATGTTTTTATAGTTTAGCGGATTAATAATAATAATTTAAAATGAAAATGCCAAATCCAAGACTGGCTAAAAGAAAAACATTATATTTGAGGAACCTATGCTGAAAGCCAAGCGGTTGGAGATTTCCCGGAAAGAAAAGAGTAATTATGAACGATACGTCGTGGACTGATGGCTGCTAAAAGGGGGGGTCACTATTTTACAGTTGCCTCCTTACCATTGTGATTTTAACCCGACTGAGTAGTATGGGCACAGGAAGGTACCACGGAAAGTAGCTACAATAATTAATAAAGCTTTTAAAATGCACGAAGTCCAGAATTTAATTTCGGTCTTTCGGTCAATACCGGTCGCGGGACTTCACTATTTATGAAATGGAAAAAACTTGCAACACTCGAAATGTCAAATCGTTGTCTCTAATTATGGAACGAACTATAGGTGTAGGTAACATAAACTGAGAAATGTAAAAACTATAATATATTTCGTATTGGTAAGTAGATACATATAGTAGAAGGGCAAACGAGATGACGGATCACCTACGGTAACCAATCACTTAATAGATACCAACCACCAGAGTGTACATGTAACTGGCTATTTGGGAGGAGAGCTCACACTCCAGTTTTTATGCTCATACTCATAGTAACAATCGTATTTTACCATCACATCACACTTCGTCACTGCTGAGCAAAGGGCTCTTCACACACTGAGAAGGTAAACTTAAGCAATAATCACCACCTTTGATTAGGGTGGGAGGCGATTTCAAACTTATAATCAGAAATAAAAAGTCCAGGTTTCCTCAAGATATTTTCATGTTCATTGTGTAATCTCATCAACTAACCTGCATTATGTCATTTCTTCTTAGTATATTCTTACCGTTCCCACATCCTAAGTCCATAACAACACTGCCAAGTGGAACTCCTTGCATGAACTCCACCACCTTGGGCCAAGGTTTGTGCCGAGTTGTACTGAAGTGGCCTGCTATTTGTTCATATACCTGGAAAATTGAGAATAAGAATTATAGCTCATCTTTGGTAAACATAACATTTTATTCTCTACATAATCTTTTACTTTATATTGTGACTGACTAAGTAAAATTGTCTTTTTCTTTATACATAAATAAATTCGCTTTTAAGTTTATGCAGTTTGCCTGGTATTTTGTTATAACATTCAATACAAAATCTCATTAACGCGTTATGTTCTGTTGCTAATCTAAATAACGGCGCACTTAATCTCTCCCTATCTCTTTTTTGATAGTTTTATTTGTCTGAGCTACTTCGATAAATAACTACTGTTTTCGTGAATAAATTGGGATGGTAGGTTCATAATATATGTTAATATCTCTAAACTTGCCTCTGAGAGATTGTGGTCCATTATTAAATATGTATGTGGGGCAAGAAACCTAATATTGAGCCCTGTGGTATGCCTATGGTATGCTAGAACCCCTTAAGTTGACTTGTATTTAATGTTGCCTATTATGAAGGCGAGTATGATTTTCATCAACCTACATAGACATACCCCCCCCCCTCCTCCATGTCCTTGTGTTCTATATTCGGAATTTTAATTCCATTCCAGATTTGACAATTTCAGTGTTGCAACGTTATGACACGTAATAAATAGTGACGTTGCGAAATTATTCGATGTGGAAATCGAATATTTCTGAATCGATTCCTCTCGTTTATAAATTTACTCTCGTAAACTAAATTTATCAGGAAATAAAATATTTCTGAAACGATAATTTAGTTTTGACAATTAATTAACGATCTGAGACTTTTCTTTTGTAATTGTGTGTGAAATTAATAAAAAATGTGATCATGAAGGAACATGACAAATAAAACAGACATTTTATAAATTGTCGCCGTCATCGCTATCGCTGTTACTTTCTGTAACATTTATTATGAATTGTGTCTGTGATTTTTATTCTCAATTAACATATCTAGCTTACTCATTTTTTTCTCTTCTCTGACAATATGGGATACGCATTTAGACCAATCGGTAGCCGTAATTTTTTGAATGCCTTCCTGAAACTGATTCACTGATTGTTTATCGATTTTTGTGTTCATCACTACACTGTTATATGTGGTATCATTATTTCACAAAATGACAATAGGTCATGTCAAATCAGGAATCGAATTAAAATTCTGACGACTTTCGTCGGTAGTGGTGAAGGGTACACACGTGCTTTTATCGGTACTGCGATTGTTGTCAATTTTAGTGATCTTATTCATAGTGATCTAAATTGAAACATTTTGTGTTGTTTTTATTGTGTGTTTGTGTGCCGTTTTTAATAAGGTATTTTTTACATTTTTAACTAATCGTTTCTCTCTTTTACTTGTCTCCGTTGTCCAAGATGGACGCGGAGAAACCCCCGACCCTCCTGATAAATCCCCCGATATTAAGCCAATTCTAACCGTCACTCTTCCCCATGACAACCCGGACCTCGAAATATTGGACTCTGATCCTGCATCAAACAGAAAAAGACCCGCAGGCTCCCCCCCTGTCTCCCGTAATAACCCGCCGAAACTAGCGAAAAGCATCAACGGTAGACAATGCTACACCGCTAGGGACAACCCTCCCTACATAGTGTATGTTTCGCTTAAGGACTCCCAGACGACTGGCACTACTCTTCACCCGGTAAAATTTGGGATGTTTTTAATGCGGAACAACATTAACAACGTCAAAATCGGTGGTGTAAAAAGAATAGGCAGGAACAGAATCTCGGTTGAGTTTGAGTCCCACCAGGATGCCAACAGTTTTCTTGTGAACTGTGTGGTTGCACAAACTTATACAACCTCAATCCCTCAGTTCAATATCATCAGAATGGGTATAGTAAGGGATGTTCCCATTGAGTGGTCAGAGGAAGAGATAATTAGCAACATCAGGGTCCCTGCGGGATGTGGTGTTGTTATAAAGGCAAGGAGGATGAATAGAAAAGTGTCTTCACTGAATGGAACAGAATGGAAACCTACCCAGACTGTAGTCCTGACGTTTGATGGCCAAATGTTACCTAAGAAAGTTTTTTGTTTCTACTCCGCCCTACCAGTAGAATTATATTCATACCCGACTATAATAATAAAGCCCTTTTTATTCCGAACCACATTGAAAAAAAACAAAACAATACAGTGTTTAAATAGTTATAGTATGTCACGCAGTTCGGCGTGCCTCTTGGCATAGGCCTCCTCCAGCTCCCTCCATTGAGCTCGATCCTCCGCGACTCTGGTCCAAAATGGTCCCAGGGTTAGCCGAATATCGTCACTCCATCTGCTCTTTGGACGCCCTGGTTTTCTTGTGTTTTCTCTAGGATACCAAAGAGTCACCTGTTGGCTCCACTTGTTTAAATTGCTGCGCAACATGTGTCCTGTCCAGCTCCATTTTAGATGCTCTATGCGAGATATGATATCCATAACTTTTGTCTTTCTTCTTATTTCCTCGTTTCTGATCTTTTCACTAAGCCGGATTCCCAACATGCTTCTTTCCATTGCTCTTTGAGTTTTGGCCAGTTGTTCTCTATGTTTTTCCGTTAGAGTCCATGTCTCGCAGCCGTACGTCATGCATGGAAGAACACAAGTGTTGAAAGTCTTTCTCTTGATGTGTACACCTAAATCTTTGTTCTTCATGATTTCTTTCAGCGACCAGTATTTCTTCCACCCGCTAGCTACTCTTTTGCTTATTTCTTTAGACATGGAGTCCTCCGGAGATATAATTTGTCCAAGGTAAACATATTCTTTTACATACTCAAACTTTGTTCCATTAACCTCTATGTCGATTTCTATTGAGTTAGTCATTAGTTTTGTTTTATCCGTGTTGATTTCCAGGCCCACTTCTCTGCTTTCTTCTGCTAGGGCTTTAATCATATGCTCAAGCTTTTTGGGATCTTCTTCCAGCAGGACAATATCATCAGCAAATCTCAAGTGATTGAGGCGGTTTCCATTTATTTTGATACCGTTACTCTCCCAGTCCAATTTTCTGAATATGTGTTCAAGCACAGCATTAAACAGCTTTGGCGACAAAGGGTCTCCCTGTCTTACACCTCTGTTTATTGGAAAGGGTTCTCCTTTTGACTCTAGTTTAACCCTGCTTTTGCTTTCTTTGTATATTGACTTGATCAGTTCTATGTAGACCTTTTCTACGCCTTGTTCCTTTAGACTCTTCCAGATAAACGTGTGTTTTAAACTATCAAATGCTTTAGAGTAGTCTATAAAGCAGATATACAGTGTCTTCTGGTACTCATTATATTTTTCCAAGACTTGTTTGATCGTATGGATGTGGTCAATAGTGCTGTAGTTCTTTCTAAATCCTGCCTGCTCGATCGGTTGGTTTTCATCTAATACTCTGGTTATCCTTTCTAAAATTATTTTTGCGAAGACTTTGTAAACATTTGATATAAGACTGATTGGTCTATAGTTTCCGATGTCATCTTTATTCCCTTTCTTATGAAGGAGAATGATATGTGATTCATTCCACTGTTGTGGGATGACGCCTGTTGTTATTATGTCATTGAATAGCTTGGTTAGGATTGGGACTATTTCTTCTTCGGTGCCTCTGAGTAGCTCATTTGTTATATTGTCGGGACCTGGAGCTTTTTCTAGCTTCTGTGACGCTATGGCCTTTTGTACTTCCTGCAGTAGTAATGGCAATGGTGGGGCTGTTGTGAGGCTTGTATGGGGCTCAATTTTATCATTCGTTTCTTGATCGGTGTCATTGTTAGAGTAAAGATTACGATAGAAGTCTGTAGCAAGGATCTGGATTCTTCTGCGATTTGTTACAAGTTTGGCTCTATTGCTTTTTAAATTTGGTATCCAATCCATTCCGTATTCCCTTAATTCCTTGAAAGCTTTTCTTGTTCCTCCGGTCTTTTGGATTTCTTCTTCTAGTTTTCTCATTCTCTTTACTTTCCTGTCCTTTCTTATATTTGCTCGAATCTGTTTGCTTAGGCTTGATATTATGTAACGGTTCTCTGCAGTTTTTGGTTTTTCTGACATTAATGTTTTTCTTTCTTTTAGGAGCTCCTTTGTCCTTTCACTAAACCTTACACCTTTATTAACATTAACTTTCCTTAATTTTGACAATTGTTTGTTAATGAGGTCGTATTTATCAGTAACACTTTTTTCTGAGTATACTATTCCTTTCAGTGTTGTGATGAACGAAGACTCCAAATTTTCTCTGTGTTGTTCTAAGGTCACATTTGTTTTAATATTATTTCTGTTTTTTTTTGTTGGATACTTCTTTAGATAACAGCGTACCATGCGGTGGTCGGTATTAAAATTTAAATTCTGAATAACGTGTGCATCATGAAAATATTTTGGTTTATTAGTTATTATGAAATCGATTTCATTTTTATGTTTACCATCAGGTGATAACCAGGTCCACTTGGTTTTGGGGTCTTTTTTGAAGACCGAATTAAGTAATATTAAGTTATTTTGTAGTAGAAACTCAGTTAGTCGACGCCCATTGTTACTTCTCTTTCCGTGTCCATATATACCTATTATCCGTTCTTCGCCGGGTTCTCGACAGCCAACCTGTGCATTGAAGTCACCCATGACTAAGAGGAAGTTATTATGGTATGTTTTTACAACATCAGACAAAGCGCAGTAAAAGCCATCGCTCTCGTTTTGCAAAGCTAATTCTGTGGGTGCATATGCTTGTACTATTGTCCATGGTTTATTGTATCTTGGAATTTTGATGTTGAGTATTGCTATCCTCTCTGAAATGCCTATCAATTCTTGTATATAGATTTTCAATGTTTTTTTAATTAAAAAGCCAACTCCATTTATGCCTGCTGTTTCACCTTTCTGGTATAGTATGTAGTCGTTACGTTCTGTTATTTTTTCGTGTGGTCTTCTCATTTCACACACGCCCAGGATATCAAATTTTATATTTTGTAACGCCATGTCTAATTCAAGTAAGCTTTCTTCTGTTCGTAGAGTTCTTGTGTTTAGTGTTGCAATTTTAAGTGTTTCAGTTCTTTTTGCTGGAGGGGTTTGGTCTAGTGCTCCC